ATTTAGCCATTTTATCTGTTTTTTCTGTACTTTATTGAGCTCAAAAAATAAAATAAAGGTCAGATTCAAATTAAAGAAAAGGTGGACCCTGGACCCCAGTTTAGAAGCCACTGATCTAAAAGGATCATGTCGAGATGGCCTGAGCCAATTAAAAACTGTATAATGAGGACTACTGTGTCAGTCCAGTCCATGTTCAGTGATTGCTGTAGCTCAGCTGAAGGAGAGGTTTCCATTCACAATAGAAATACCGTGTCATTGGCCCTCTCTATGATGAGACTGACAAGTTGAATTCATTACTGCTAATGAGATCATCATATCATAGCAACATATTCCCAAATGGGGAGTGCATGTTGTTTTGACAGGAAAGATCAGAAATATCAAACAATATCAGTTAATATAGAAGTATTGATTAATATTATTTTGTAAAATACAATGCCATGTAATGCAACAGTAAATTATAAAGTTAATCTTCTTAATCTTATTCTTCAACTATAGCGGAGTCTAGAACATTCTGTTTATGTTGACAAGGTGTCAGAGAGGAATTGATTTCACTCCAATATGATTCATGGTCTATTTATGACCTTAAGTGCCTTTTTCAAGCCACAACTTCCAGTTGCATGGAAAACATCAAAATCTAATTTAGCAGATCGCCATGATGTTTGCTCACACATCCTTGCCTCAAATGACCTCATGGCCTCTCCTGTAGTGCCACCCTCTGGACAAACTGGCTGGAGGAATAGTAGCTTATTTTGTCTCCACCCAATCACAATTGTCATCACAATTACAAAAGCCATGGAATAAATTATTAACCCATTACAGCACTTAAAGTAGTAGCTAAGCTAGGCACAAATCTATTGACATTTTCCAAATAATTTAAAGTATGAGTAAGTTATAAGTTATATAAGTTTTTATACTTTTTAACACCAGGGGTTACTTTTTTATTTTCCAAGAAAACACGTCTAGAACAATGGGTTACGAATTTCAGATATACTCACTTTTATGTGTGACTATTTATTTTTTTTTCTTGGTTGTTGTCATTGTTTCCCTGTATTGCCTTGTCAAGTCTCATATCCCTGCACAATATGATTTAAACGTCACGTCATATCCCGATTATTTTGACACATAAAAATGATTCACAATTAGTGTGGGAATGATTATTTAAAAAAAAAACTAAATTATAATGATGTGAATTTCTATATCTCTATATCAAACAAATATCGGTTTCTAACATCCGGAGAACAAGATTTGTCAGTCAGGGCATCTCTGCAGTACTACAGGACTTAATTATAAAGTTGTTTGTCACATATTTTACCTTCATAAAAAAACTTGTAAATAATTATGCAGCCCTATATGTCTTCATGTTATTCACATATACACCAACAAAAGAAAAAGAAATTAAATTAAAATAAAATGAAAATGAATGGTTTAAATGTAATACCAGTTGAACCAGATTGACACAGGTCTGACAATCACTTGGCTGTGAATTCTCTCAACATCAAGTAAAATGTTGAAAGTAAAAAGAGCACAGGCTAGGCATTATAAAAACATTGTAATGGTAAAAAAAATAAGACTGCATTGGCAAAGTGGAACAATGACCACATGCAAACCCTCACCAACACTGAATGATGCATAACAGAATATTTGCTGATGACCAAAACCTATGCATCATGCTTTCATCATCATAACATGCATGCAAATACTAAGAGAAAATTCATCCTTCAGTAAATGTAATAAATAGTTATCTGTAACAGATACTGTACACAGCTTTTGGTATAACTATGACCGTGCTAATCCCCAAGATTCCTAGATTAGAATAGAATAGAGTTGTTGTTATGTAAACCAAACACAACACATCATCAAAATATGTAAAATAAATAAAGCGTACCATTCGACTTTGCACTGGGCATGCAGCGGTCCAGCACAACAAAGCCCAGAGGTGCCAACTGCCAACAGTGCTGCAAGGAACCAGTGGACTGGATGCATTCTGCTACAAACTGCCTCAGTAAAGTTCAGTCTGGACTTAACTCTCACAATGACAACAGCTCCAGTGATTGAGGGAAAGAATCACAGGATCATCATGTGCTTTTCTGAAAAGGAAACAGCCTAAATGCAATTTACTTCTGACGAGGAGACAATAAAAGATTCAAAGACATTTGGTTTACAGAGACACCTAGAGGCAGTTTGTGATATAGTAGTGATAGCAGAAGACCACTCTCTGCCTGTGTTTGTCCCTCCACACATGATTTTGTTAATAGGTCCAATATGCACTTTGAATTGAAGAAATGTAGATTTTTTGTAAAAAAAAAAAAAAAAAAAAAAAAAAAGTTTTTTACTGTGTCAGGCTTAAATAGGAGTTTATCTTCCACAATATCAGCTTGGTGAGTGTGGCATGTAGTGTACAGCGCATTGACTGGTCGAAAGACTAGAAAGGCACTATGTAAGAACAGTCCATTTACCATTTTTACCATTTATGGGACAGTGTCATCTGCCTTCTTCCATAAAGCAAGGATTACCATGGTTAAAACTACTACATTGTTATGCTAGACGTAAAGTAAGTAAGTACTAATGACTTATTTCTCTCCTGAAGTTTTAATAAGACACAATATTCACCTGAACATATCTATGTAGCATATGCTATATAGTGATGTGAATTTTGCTATATTTATTATCAATGAATGCAAATTAGTAATACAGTGGAAAGCACACACTCTGTACATGGCAGGGGCAAAAAGGAAAAAAGGAAACCCGCTTCTGTGAGTAGGTATAGGGTTTGGAATATTTTTAAACTTCCCCTCCACTCAAAGATTATTTTGTCATCTTGTTCCTACAGTGTGATGTTTAATATTCACGAAGAATGATGTCCGTGCAGAGTTTGACACTAGAAGGATGTTTTCACATTGATCTGCTGAAAGTGGAAAGTTTCTCTGTGCTAACTGGGGCAGGGCCTACGAGCATCATTTGTGACATCACAAATAACACAAGTTAATCCTGGTCTAGTATGCAAAAATCAATCCAAAATTTGTTATCAAGGCCAATTTCTTTTCTTTACTCTCTTGAACATTATTACATGTTAAGCAAGGGTCTCACAATTACACCATACTTACATACTGTAGGCCATCTTTCAGAGGATTATTATATTATATATCTATTGTGTCTGTTTTCTTCCTTTTACTCTTCACTAGAGGATCTTTCTTTCACTTTCACCACTCGATTCTGTAAATAGCTATCATTACCCTAATGAGGTCTCCGCTCATCTTCTATAGGCCTTCTTAGTCACCTCATATTTTTCACCCTATCAGATATCCCTCCTCTCATTTAACCTTGTGGTCTTCTAAAATTTGACCCTGCTGAAGGCTACAATCAGTCATCCATTGTGGCTCAATCAGGCATACTCTTTGTTTCCCTGAATCATTCATCCCTGACAACAGTCCTCAGCATCTTTACTTCCAATCAGCCCGGTTGAGGATCTTTTTAATCTCAGAATTAGGATTGTCAAGTAGGTTTTCACATACATATTTGCCATGGTATATTGGTGTACAACAATAAACATAGTACAGGAAAAATATAAATAAATATGAAGCATATTTGAGTACAGAAGCAGGTGACCGGGACCAAGGGCGGAGAATTTTCTAAGAAGAAGTTTCTGGGTCTGTGAATTTGGTCCTGCATTCTTCCTAATGGAAAACAGGGAAGTTCTATTGATAGTAAAAATAGGCTGGTTGCATGTAAGGAAATATAAATTTACCTTATTTCTGACTTGATTTATTAGCTCAGTAAACAGTTTCCTAATAAGTTTATGGTCTCAATTTCTAATTTCAAGTCTTCTTCCATGCAGAAAGTGGTTAATTTGGGAAATTATTTAGAGAAAAATAGACAATAAAATACTTTGAGGCATGGCTAACTTGTGATGGACAAGTCATTCTCAGTGAGTTCATCCAGCGCAACACAACAAACTCAGATCAAACTGCAGTGCAAAACTATGCAGTGCTGATCAAATATGAATCAAGATTCTGTTATCGCGTTGCCTATTCCTCTCCTCAAATCTTTTACTGTACTGTGTACTGTTTATCTGTAAAATACACGTGACCTGACAGTTTGGTGGTTTGATCTCCGGCTCCTCTCACTGCATGTCGAAGTATCGTTGAGCAAGATACTGAACCCCAAATTGCTGCTAATGCTGTGTATGAGTGTGTATGGATGATTAGTTTCCATTCTGGTGAGCAGTTGGCACCTTGCATGGCAGCCACTACTATCAGTGTATGAATGTGTGTGAATAGGGTGAGTCTGGCATGTAGTGTACAGCGCATTGAGTGGTTGAAAGACTAGAAAGGTGCTATATAAGTACAATCCATTTACCATTTACAGGCCACCATTTTTTCCTGTTACGGACAAGTTCAAACAAGATAGAGTATGTATTCACGGTACATACAAAGGTATGCATGTGTGTGCATTTGTCACATTTCTAATCACTTCATTGTTTTATTTCATTGAGTACAAGATCAGTGCGTGTGTTTGTGTTTGTATGACAAAATATCTCACACACACACACACCTAAATACATATGTATATATATATATATATATATATATATATATATATATATACATAAATATTTACATAGTTTAGGGCAGCCTTGAGAAAAACATGAAAATGAGATGGATTAGGAATGGGGAAATGAACAATCCGGCTGTAAAGGTGGGCTAACAAACTTTAGCATAGAAGTGAGGATGGCTAGATATCTGTTGCTGAGTCAGTTGTAAATGATGGAGGTAAGAGAGAAGCAGAAGAGAGAATGTGTGAGGGAGCTGCTATTGTGAGTGTTCCTGCAGGATCACAGTGGCCTTGAGGGATGAAGAGCAGGGAGGAGGAGGGGGGAGGACGCCAGCAATCCTCCTGAACACGCCTGCTGAAAGCTCCACAGCACCTCCAGCCTCCAGCGGGACTAAAAGCACTGCCAGGGTTACAGCCACTCAGGGGGGAGAACAGCCTCTGGGTTCATTCCTCTCCTGGGAAATAGTGCTCTGCTCTCAGCTGTCATCCACTGACAGACAGCGAGCAGAAGAGCACACATCAAGAGCCACAATGACAGAACCGACGTCTAAAAAACAGGGATTTAAAAAGTGTCGGAGTGCCACATTCAGCATTGATGGCTTCAGCTTCACCATTGGTAAGAGAATCTTTGTTACAGTGTGTGTGTGTGTGTGTGTGTGTGTGTGTGTGTGAGAAAGACAGGTGTTGCTCGGTGCTATAGTGTGTAGAACAGACGTCTTCTTTACTTTAGATTTATTGTATCTTAGCTATAGTTGCTCCTAATATTAAATTCAATTTTCAATTAAATTTTATTTGTATAGGGCCAATTCATAACAGAAGTTATCTCAGGACACTTTTCAAATGGAGCAGGTCTAGACCAAACTCCTTATAACATTTACAGAGACCAAACAGTACCACCATAAGCAAGCACTTGGCGACAGGGGGCAGGGAAAAACTGCCTGTTAAGAGGCAGAAACCTAGGACAGACCCTTTGGCTCTAGGTGGGTGGTCGTCTGCCTCGACCAGTTGGGGTGAGAGAGAGAGAGAGAGAGAGAGAGAGAGAGAGAGAGAGAGAGACAGAGACACACAGACAGACAGACAGACAGTTGCACAGCAACAACAGTAGCAACAACTACACCAATAGTAGGGACTGATGATGATGAACATGAAGAAGACGATGACGACGACAATAGCAACGATGGGGGACAATGAGCAGTGACAAAAGTAATAATAGTAACTGTAGTAATAATAATATTAATAATAATAATAATAACAATAATATCAGTGATATTAGCAATGGCAGTCAAGCAGGACCATGGCAGGAGGCACCACCAGGATCCATGAGAACCTGCGAGACGAGAAAGCACAAGAACTCCGGGGAAGAAGTAAAGTTAGTAACATGCATTAATGGGACATGAATGAGTGCAAAAAGAGAGAGAGAGGAAGAGAGGAGCTCAGTGCAGAATGGTAAATCCCCGATAGTTTAGGCCTATAGCAGCATAACTAAGGGATGGTTCAGGACTCACCTGATCCAGCCCTAACTATATGCTATCAAAGAGGGCCTACTTTTAAATGTGGAGAGGGTGTCTGCCTCCCGAACCACAATTGGAAGCTGGTTCCACAGGAGAGGAGCTTGGTAACTGAAGGCTCTGGCTCCTGTTCTACTTTTTGAGACTATAAGAACCACAAGTAGCCCTGCATTCAGAGAACGCAGTGTTCTAGAGGGGTAATAGGGTACTATGAGCTCTTTAAGATATGAAGGGGCCTGACCATGAAGAGCTTTGTAGGTGAGGAGGAGAATTTTAACTTCTATTCTAAATTTTACAGGGAGCCAGTGCAGAGAAGCTAGTACAGGAGAGATGTGATCTCTTTTCCTAGTTCCTGTCAGTACTCGTGCTGCAGTGTTTGGAATTAATTGGAGCATCTTAATGGACTTATTGGGGCAGCCTGATAATAAAGAGTTGCAGTAATCCAGCCTAGAAGTAATAAATGCATGGATTAGTTTTTCTGCATCTGTCTGTGATAGGATGTGTCTAATTTTTGTAATATTACGTAAATGAAAGAAGGCAGTCCTGGAGGTTTGCTTTATGTGGGAATTAAATGACATGTCTTGATCAAAGATAACTCCAAGATTCCTGACAGTGGTGCTAGAGGCCAAGGTAATGCCATCTAGAGTAGCTATATCTTTAGACAGTAAGTCTCTAAGGTTTTTGGGGCCAAGTACAAGAATTTCTTTTTTTTCTGAGTTTAACATCAGAAAATTGCAGCTCATCCAGGATGTCCTTAAGACATGTTTGTAATTTAGATAATTGATTAATTTCATCAGCCTTGATCGATAGATATAACTGCGTATCATCTGCATAGCAATGAAAGTTAATGGAGTGATTCCTAATAATGTTGCCTAAAGGGAGCATATATAAAGTAAATAGTATTGGTCCAAGTACAGAACCTTGTGGAACTCCATGACTAACTGTAGTATTTATTGAAGATTCATCATTAACGTGTACAAACTGCGAACGATCTGATAAGTATGACTTAAACCAGCTTAGTGCGGTTCCTTTAATGCCAATTTGATGCTCAAGTCTCTGTAAAAGAATGTTATGGTCAATGGTGTCAAATGCAGCACTAAGATCTAATAATAACCAGAGCTGTCTCTGTGCTGTGATGAACTCTAAATCCTGACTGAAAATCCTCAAATAAACTATTGTTATGTAGAAAGTCACACAACTCTTTGGCGACTACTTTCTCCAGAATCTTAAGAGAGAAGGGGAGGTTAGAAATCGGTCTGTAGTTGGCTAAAACCCCTGGGTCAAGAGTGGGCTTTTTAAGAAGGGGTTTAATTACAGCTACTTTAAAGGACTGTGATATATCCTGATAATAAAGAAAGATTAATCATATTCAGTAAAGAAGTGTCAATTACAGGTACGACTTTTTAAGCAGCCTAGTTGGGATCGGGTCTAATAGACAGGTTGATGGCTTCGATGAAGAAATTATTGAAGTTAACTGATGAAGATTGATAGCAGAAAAACATTCTAAATATATATCTGAGTTTACATTAGTTAAAGTTCCTAAACTTGGAGAGCCAGTGATACCTGTTGAGGGCATTTGATGACTAATTTTCTCTCTAATAGTAATAATTTTATTATAAAAGAAGCTCATGAAGTCATTGCTACTTAAGTTTATGGGGATATGTGGCTCAATAGAGCTGTGACTCTCTGTCAGCCTGGCTACAGTGCTGAAGAGGAACCTAGGGTTATTCTTATTTTCTTCTATTAGTGCTGAGTAATAGGCTCCTCTGGCATTACGGAGGGCCTTTCTATAAGTTTTAAGATTATCATGCCAAATTGAGCGATATTCTGATAATTTGGAAGAGCGCCATTTCCTTTAACATTTCCTAGCTATTTGTTTTAACTGGCGGGTTTGGTGGTTATACCAAGGTGTCTCCTATGTTTTAATAATTTCCTTTTTATAGGAGCGATAGAGACTAATGTTGATCGTAGTGAGCCTGCAGCACTATCGACAAGATTATCAATTTCAGAGGGATTAAAGTTGTTATAGGACTCTGTTAAATTCAGACATGGCATTGAATTAAACACTGAAGGAATCTCCTCCTTAAATTTAGCTACAGCACTATCAGATAGACATCTGCTGTAGGAAGTTTTGCCTAATGGCTTATAATCTAATAATAGAAATTCAAAAGTTATTAAATAATAGTCAGATAGGAAAGGATTATGTGGGAAGACTATTAAATGTTCAATATCAATGCCATATGATAGAACAAGGTCAAGAGTGTGATTAAAACAATGAGTTGGTTTATTTACACTCTGACAGAAGCCAATTGAGTCTATTAATGATATAAATGCATTACTAAGGCTGTCATTGTTAACATCCACATGAATATTAAAATCACCTACAATAATTACTTTATCTGATTTGAGGACTAAACTTGATAAAAACTCTGAGAATTCAGATATAAAATCAGAGTACGGGCCAGGAACGCGGTACACTATAACAAATACAACTGGCTGCAGTGTTTTCCAGTTTGGGTGAGAAAGACTAAGAATACTAAATAATACATATTCCTGTAGCATTTTCCTTTGTTTCAAGAAAAAAATAACTGATTTAAAATATGTTCAAAACTTGCTGTGTACAGCTTTAACATACCAGTAACTAATATTTAATCTTCATTCAGTGAAGTGTCCTTATCCGGATTTATAACATCACCTAGTTAAAGGTATAATACTATTTCTGCATTTAAATGTCAAAAAACGCTAGACCTATGTTATACATTTGGCTGAGTTGTGGACCAAATGTTTCCAACAAACCCAGAGATATGTAATCCTATTCAAGGTAATATAGCATTTTCTACTTGCCTGTAGTTGCTAAAACGTCCAGGGGAACACAGGATACGTTACAGAGTGACGAAAGAAGTCAGCAAACGTGACTAAACTTGGCGTGAATAATACTTGTCTTGAGTATGATTTCTTTTTGGCCTTTTATTGCCAGTGACAGCTGAAGGTAGAAAGGAAAGGAGGGCAGAGAGAGGGGATGACACTCAGCAAAGAGCCGTAGGTCGGATTCAAACCCTGGGCCGCTGCAGCAAGGACTCAGCCTTGGTACATGGGACGCCAGCTCTACCAACTGAGCTAACCGTGCGCCCCAGAAGCAAAGGTGTTTTTTTTTTTTTTTAACAATAAACACTAACTATCTACCCACACTACTTCACAACATCATCAATCTACATCTTTTGTTATTGTTATGTGAGAGACTCCTATAGGCAGAAATTACATACTGTGCATTTGAATTTGATGTCATATGAATGTGACATCTAGTTGAATCAGTCAGGGGCCCATTAGGGGCAGCTTATTTTTGGGAAGTTGGCACCCCTGTCCACATACTTTACTGTATGTTTTGTCTGGGTCTGTTGAAATCTTAATGCTCATAGCATAGCATACAGTCATATTTTAGACAATTTTGTGCCAACAGTTGTGGTTTTTGGATGAGTTAAGTCTTAAAGGCAGTCAGTGTCTATTTAAGATAGACAGAGATAAAGTAGGTTGTCCACTAATCAGAGAGTTGGCAGTTTAAACCCCCGGCTCCTCTCGCTGCATGTCGAAGTGTCCTTGAGCAAGATACTGAATTACTTGTGTATGAATGCTTAGTTTCCGTTCTGATGAGCAGTTGGCACCTTGCATTGCAGCATGAGAGTATGGGTGAGTGTGGCATGGAGTGGTCAAAAGACGAGAAAGGCACTATATAGGTAAAGTCCATTTACCATGTTCATCACCAATAGTGAAGGCAGGCACTGGTATCCCATTATCAGACCACTTCTGTCTTGGTGGTGTTGACAGTCAGCCTCATCCTGCTGTACACTCTGACCACCACACACATTCACACGCTGACACACAGGCAGCAACCACGCATGGCGCTGGACTAGCCCATGAGCCTGCATTCAGTGTCTTGGGTAAGGAGACTTCGGGATTTAGACAGGAGGAGGTGCGGAAGTGGATGACTTAATCCACAGTCCTCTAGTTCTGGGAGCAGGCTGTACATTAGCTGACCTTTTTTGCTATTAGTAAAACACTGGAACCAGACTAAATAACTACATTTGTATGATGTACAGTCCCAACACCACAAACAAACAAACAGTAAGCCACAAGAGCCCTCTGTCATGTTGTCAGCAGAGCAACAGCATCGCCCTCTCTCTCTCTAACCCCAACTGGTCAAGGCAGACGGCCATCCACCTAGAGCCAGGGTCTGGTTTTATGAGGAGTACGATATACACCTACTCTATTTGAAAAATGAGATAACTTTGTTATGAATTGGCGCTATACAAATCTTAATTTTATTGAACTGAATTTTGATCTAATCACTGTGTGGGGAAAAAAACACATAATGAGAGTGTAAATGCAAAGGCCTGTGATCAATCTTTATCCAAAAAATATAAGTACTCAAATACAGATCTTATGTTATTAACAGGTGTAAATTTGGTCTATCTATTTCTCACCCCTAACCCCCTGGGCTAGTCTCATTCCCTCTCCATTTACCCTTCATCAGTGTTATTTGACCTATTGACATGAAAATGGCCACACACATTTGTAAATATAAAACAACATGACAAAATGGATCTTCATCATTACCATCCAAAATTACTCATATGAGCTTTTTTTGATCCAACACCCTATCACACATTTAAAACCAGAGCTAATGAATTGTATACTGTGACACAAATATAAATACAATATATAAGCAACCTGATGATAACAATATTGACTTCCTTTTTTTACTGAAAATATTATTGTGAATAGGGTAATTGTCTGTATTCATATTAGTGGAACAGAAGGCCATGTTCTTTCACAGTTCGTGTGTGTTTACTGACTGCTGTCTCTATGGGAACCAGAAGAGATGGGATATGACTGTGACATCATTTTGCAAATAAATGTGTGTGTTGTCAGTTGTTAGGATGCTGAGCTCAGGGAGTCATTATCACTAATGAAGTGCCCAACGTATTATCACAAAGCACTGAGGATACTGAATGAATGCGTTGGAGGCATTTTCAGAATCAGAATGAGAATCAGAATCAGAAATACTTTAATAATCCCAGGGGGAAATTACTTTCTTTTACATTTTAACATCTGATTTATATTACCAATGCAAATGTAAAATTAAAGAAATTCTAATTTGTTTCTTTACAGTTGCCAATGAGTCAGGAGAAAGCAAACGCCGTCCACTGGCCTGCTTTGCACGTGAGTGGAAATTTTGCTCACTTATTATAATGAGGTCTGTAAGGTGTGTGACCTAGATGTGATGTGGTGGTGGTAAAACATTTAAAAACTAAATCAAAGGATGTTTGTTTGCACGAAAATTGTACAGGCTCACGGTCCCAGAATGCACTATGCACTGCAGTCACAGCCAGTTCTGGCATCACTGAGCACAAAGGAATTCTAATCGACCCACGCAGCACCGAGGAGATCCTGGCTGATGATCTGCCAATCCCTGACGAACCTGACGTCATGGAGAAGACTGCTATCAGGTCACACATGCACACAGAAAATCCCAAAGAAACACAAAGAACAAACATAAACACAAACAACAAATGCTGCTACTTCAACGCAGTGACACTCCAGGTAAGGTCAGGAGGTCACCAATTATGAAGCATTATATGGATTCCAAAAATATTGACACCATATTTAAAAGTCCAATATGTAGGATCTCGTGGCATCTAGCAGTGTAATTGCAGATTGCAACTCTCTACCAAACGAAGGAGAAACTATGGTGGATGAAAATGTGAACAGCCTTATCTAGAGCCAGTGTTTGGTTATTCCCTTCTGGGTTACTATAGAAACATGGTGGTTCAACATGGCAGAGTTTGTAGATATAAAAGGCTCATTCTAAGGTAACAAAAAGCAAAAACAATAAAACAATTCCTTTTTTTAGGTGATTATACAGTAATGAAAACATACATATATTATATTCTATTTCTGCCAATAGATCCTCCTAAATTGTTGGACCTTTAATGTAAATATGTCTTAGCTGTGCGGATATTCTTGCTGTGTGTTAGATGGACAGATGGACTGACATGGCAATCCTTGGATTCAGACTGTTTGGGTCTCTAAGTAGTGGAATTCTGAAACAGCTCTGTATTTTTCTTTGAGGTGAAATGAACTGTGTGAGACACATCATTAGAATACTTGGCTTTGTTTCACTGCTTTGGCATCACCATTGCCAATTCACGCTGTCTGCACTGACACTAAGTGTCCCTCGGTGTGCACACACATTGTATTGCCAAGTTTGTTTTAATTAGTCCCAAATTATGTGTGGGAAGTGCTCTTGAGATATTCATTTTAGAAATTACTTTCTAGAGCAATTAGTTAAAATAAAGTTAACAACTCCACCTCAAAGTCAATATACTCCTGTTTCCAGTGTTTTCAGCAATATTTAGAATGAGATCTTTAAGGTCCTTATGTTGAAAGGTTGAAGCCATTATGTCAGGGTAAGGGACATTTGTAATGTTTGTAACAAGCTGTGTGTTTTCTTTTCTTCCCGAATTCTGATTCTACACACCAAATCAGGTTGCGATGTCTTGTAAAGCAGCTGGAGAGGGGAGAGGCATCTGTGGTGGACCTGAAGAAAAACCTCGAGTATGCCGCCTCAGTCCTTGAATCTCTATACACGGAGGAAGCAAGGCAAGGAGCTCAGTTCTGAATTTAGCATTACGTTTAAGTTAAGTACTATACATACCGTGTGATGCCTAAAGTTGACATTTGTTTTAAAATTTTCCTCTGGGTCCTGAGACTATGATTGGTCTGGTGGAACAAGTAGATTGTGTGTATGTAGCAATGTAAAGATTCTTCATTAAAAGAATTCACTAAAAATCCTGCATTCCAAATTTTACTTAAGTCAAAGTCACTACTTAAACTAGTATAAGTAATCACCATGCAGGTTGGCTTCTTTCTGAACAAAAAAGCTCCAGCGATCTGTTGAAGATCTGTGTGAAGTTCTCGCCTGCTTCAAATGCTCCACCATCATCCCGGGCCCCAAAAAACCTTCCATCACAGGACTAAATTCAATTCAATTCAATTTAATTTTATTTCTAAAGCGCCAAATCATAACAGAAGTTAGAGAGAGAGAGAGAGAGAGAGAGAGAGAGAGAGAGAGAGAGAGAGAAACAAATATATAGAGAGAGAGACAGACAGAGGGAGAGACAGAGACAATGGTGCACAGCAGCATAACTAAGGGATGGTTCAGGACTCACCTGAGCCAGCCCTAACAATGAGCTTCAATCAAAGAGGAACGTCTTCAGCCTACTCTTAAATGTGGAGAGGGTGTCTGCCTCCAGAACCAAAACTGGAAGCTGGTTCCACAAGAGAGTTTAAATGACTACAGGCCTGTCGCCCCTTACATCTGTCGTCATGAAGTCCTTTGAAAAACTGGTCTTGGCCCACCTGAAGGACATTACAGGCCCCTTGCTGGACCCCCTGCAGTGCTCTCCCCACTGCTCTACTCCCTCTACACAAATGACTGCACCTCAAAAGACTAGTCTGTCAAAATCCTGAAGATTTGCAAAAGACACAACAGTCATTGGCCTCATCTGAGATGGTGATGAGTCTGCATAGACGGGAGGGGAACAGCTCACCTCTGGTGTGGTCAGAACAACCTGGAGCTTAACACACTCAAAACTGTAGAGATGACGGTGGACTTTAGGAGGTGCCCCCCAATTCTGCCCCCTATCACCATACTCAATATCCCTGTGTCTGCTGTGGAAACCTTTTTTCCACAATCTCCCAACATAGTCCAACATAGACACCATCATTAAGAAGGCCCAGCAGAGGATACACTTGTTGTCTCTGTTCTCTGTTCATCCATCACTGTCTGGTTGGGATCAGACACCAAACAGGACAGGAACAGACTACAACGGACAGTAAGGACTGCAGAGAGGATCACTGGTGCCAACCTGCCCTCCATTCAGGACCTATACTTGTCCAGAATCAAGAAACGGACAGTTGTTGTGATTTTAACAACTTATTGCAATTTGGCATCCTGTTTTTTTTTATAATTGCTTAAGGATTTTGAAGACAGAAACCATCTACTTTCCTGATAGAGTTAAATCATCAGTTAACAGCTGAGGAGACAAACTGTGGTAAATAAACAGTGCAAGTACATAAGCAGTTCAACAGCGCTAAGTGAGATCATCATTATGTAAAGTTGCCTGCAGATATTGTACATATAGTTTTTGTTTTTTGAGAATGTGCCTCTCCCTGCAGGCGGCTGGTGGATCCAGAGGATGAACTGAGTGACATCCAGTCTGACTCAGTGCCGTCAGAAGTTCGTGATTGGCTGGCCTCCACTTTTACCCGGCAGAGGGGCCTGATGCTGCGTCGCAATGAAGACAAGCCACGCTTTCGCAGCATAGTCCATGCAGTGCAGGCTGGCATCTTTGTGGAGAGGTTTGGTTTACTTTAGTTTGGCTTTGTCAGGGCTTTTGTTGTTCAGTTGACTTCCTGTGGGATTACTGGCTCTTAGTAATTATTTGATCATGAAATTAATGCCATTTTCACATTAACTTATTATAGTAGGGAGGTTAAGCCCAAAAAATAGGCCTTTGACTTCAAGTCATGATGCAAAGGTCGCCTTTGGTATGGAAGTACCTTAGGGTCATACAAATAAATTTATCCTAAGACACAAGTGAGATCACACTTTGTATCAGAAATAAACACGTTTTTTCAAAAATGGCCGCCAATGCGCCGAAAATACTCTAGAGCCCATATCTTTGCTTCTGTTATCGCTATAATGACAAATTTGGTGTCAAAGTGTACATTTTTGGGATCAAGGAATCCAATAAAATTGGTTTCAAGTTTAAAAAACCAACAATTTTCCCCATACCATGACAATTGGGGGTAAATATGCACATTTCACATAAAAATTGTGTCATCAGAGTGACTTTACTTATCTATTCCTTCAAAAACTTTAATTTTGTATTTAAGCAGTACAGCTACTTCTGTACATTACATTTGTCCTAAGTAGCATGAGATTACGACCAGTCAGGAGTAGCCTATAGCAAATCAGTTCCTGCAACAACACATCCCATCTGCACCAGGGGCTGTGACAGCTGTGACAGCTGTTGAAGGACAGAGGTGACAGGTTAACACTTTGAGGTTCGTATGACTTTCTCATTAAACAGAAAAATGTTTTTAATGTTAGATAACTAATAACTAGCTAGCTAGTTATTAGTAAGCTTCATTATAACTAGGTCGCTAGTAACTAGTTAGCTTAATCATAACTAGCTAGCTAGTAACTAGTAAGCTTCATTATAACTAGGTCGCTAGTAACTAGTTAGCTTAATCATAACTAGCTAGCTAGTAACTAGTAAGCTTCATTATAACTAGGTCGCTAGTAACTAGTTAGCTTTATCATAACTAGCTAGCTAGTAACTAGTGAGCTTCATTATAACTAGGTCGCTAGTAACTAGTTAGCTTTATCATAACTAGCTAGCTAGTAACTAGTGAGCTTCATTATAACTAGCTAGTGCCTAGTTAGCCTCATTTTTATTGTAGCAAGCACATAGCCTACATGTTGCTAGCTAGTTAGTTAGCTTCATTATTTGATAGATTTTTACTTTTGCGAATGCTTGTTAATGCTCATATTATCTATCTCATGACGTTAAAGCAACTTCATTTCTTTTTTCAGATTAGCCATAATGGAATGCCGTGACTGGAGTTTATGCTTCCTATGTCAGTCCGCCCTACAGATTGAAAAAACATTAGATCCCTCTTCATCATTCAAACTGAGAAACAATCCTGAAAGATTGCAATCATGTTACAAAGAAGCTGTAGATAACATCCAAGAGCTGAAGGCATTAGGGGATCTGCCTGAGTTTATAGTGGACATTAGTGGTGGTAGTCAGGATGTAGTTCAGCTGATGATTCAAAATCCTATGGTGTGGCACAAAAAGCTGCAGAAATGCGATTGATAAACAAAAAAGTTGAGAGAGCAAGAAAAGAAAAAGCATGAAGAGTCTGTGAGCCCAGTAAAAACACGGCGCATGAGTGACAAGTCCACCACACTCCCTTTACCCAGATCCTCAACATCATCATGTGAACCATTCGATACACCGTGTCTCTTCTGTGGTGAAGTGGGCCAAAAAAAGGAACTGAGGAGGGCTGCCACCCTTGGCTTGGATAGAAAAGTAAAAGAATGTGCTCAGGTGGTGGGTGACAGGCATCTATTGGCTGAACTAGCTGCTGGTGACATGGTTGCTATTAATGCTGTTTATCATCGTGCATGCCTGACTAGGCTCTATAGAAAAGCAGAAACTGTTGGATGTGACTCAACTGAAAGTAATGCAACTCAGGTCATCAGAGCACATGTCCTCAATGAGTTGCTTGAATACATCGAGGACTATCGTTGCTCAGGGGAATCACTGGCAATGTCTGACTTGACAGCCCTCTATGACGAGCGCATTGCTGATCTTGGATTCCCAAACATCAAATGCAACACCACACGCCTTCGGGAGGATATTGAACGCCTGATTCCTGACATCAGATCAGTACAAATAAATCGTGTCTGGTCCCTTGTATTTGATGATGACCTGAGCAAAGCTGTTGCTGACATGAAAAACAACACTTCTACCGATGTCTCCATCATCTTCAAAGCAGCCAAAATCCTCCGGCAAGAGTATCTCCCCATGAAGCATGCTTTTACAGGTACCTTCTCAACTTCCTGTGAAGCTGATTCTATCCCTCCCATGCTGAGATCGTTCTTACACATGCTTCTTGATGGATCAGGTATTGATCAGCCACCTCCTGGACCTGAGAAGTCCCAGGCTGCAACATCCATTGGGCAGCAAATAATTTTCAACTCTGTAAGATGCAGATCCAAGAAACATGGCAGTGTTCCTCGTCACATAAGAGAGAGGGAAACACCAGCTTCGCTATATCTGGCAATGAAACTACACCAGCAAAGTGGTAGTAGATATCTGGTGGAGGCCATGCATAAAAGAGGAATGTGTGCGTCATATGACCGCTTGAAAACATTTAGCATAGATATAGCGAATTCAGTGATCAGTCACTGGGAGCAGATTGGTGTCGTGGTCCCACCTCAGGCAGTCAAGGGTGTCTTCACCATTGGTGGTTTTGATAGCATTGACCACAACCCATCATCGACAATAGCAACATCAGCCCTCCATGGAACATGCATCAGCATTCAACAGCACTTCTCTTCAGACAGCCAACAGACTGAGAATCTGACTGACATCCTAGATCCAGCTGAAATGGGGAAGAAGCATGTGAAATCCTTGCCACCTCACTACACAACCATGGATCTGGAGGTATCACTGCCAACTGATGAGGTCTTGTATGTTCCTGCCCTGAATACCAACAGCCATCCTCATCCAGCCTCCCGTCCTCTCATCAATGTAATTGAAGAAGGCTACCAGTGGTTAGAGAGAGTCAGAAACATTCTCGTGAAAGAGAACCTTGAAGCCGGGGAATGGATCTCATGGGCTGCATATTATGCCAGCATCACAGAGGCTACTTCACCTCCCCCATCCAAATCATACATGATGCCACTGTTCACAGAGCCCTCTACCAGCCCCACTATGGCTTGGCATGCAATGAAAGTCCTCAGACAAACAATCAGCTACCTCAATCCAGGTCAGACACCAGTCATGGTAGCTGATCAACCACTCTTCACACTGGCCAAGAAACTTCAGTGGAAGTTTCCTCAGACCGAGCTTGGCGAGGATTCCTTCCTGGTAACACTGGGCCCAATGCATACCGAAAAGATGCTGTGGAGCGTGTCTGGTGACTGGCTGGATGGCAGCGGGTGGACCACAGCTCTTATCAATAGTGGCATCTCGACTAGTGGCAAAGCTCAGGCCTTCATTAGTGTTCACCACATATGCAGAACCCGATACATGCATCAGGTGTCTGTAGCTGCTCTCTATGTGCTCATGAAGAAGGCTTATGATAAGTACATGAAGAAGGCAAAAAATGACAATGATGAGCCGAGCGATCTCATCACTCAGCCTTTTGATGAATGGCTCAAGACGCTTTGTGCCTCACAGCCCCAAGCAGATTTCTGGTTCAAGTCCATGGAGCTGGATCTTCTCATTCTTCAGGTAAGATATGTTCGAATCGTGTGTTTCATTCAGTCCTTTATCCAATTCATATTCTTAAGTCAAGATTAAAGCTCCTTTACCTAGTATTTCATATAAATATTATTTGTTTTTTCAGTTTGTCAAGTCCTGTCGCTCAGCAGACTTCTCCCTCTACATGGAGACACTTGACTCTCTGATGCCATGGGTATTTGCACTGGATCATACGAACTATGCCCGGAACCTACCCATCCATCTCCGTGATATGGCTACATTAGAAGAACGACATCCTGCTCTGTTTGTGGAGTTCCAGAGTGGTCACTTCATGGGGCAGAAGTCGAGACGAGCGTTCTCCAAGATCCCCCATGACCAGATGCATGAGCAACTAATTGATTGGCTCAAGAATCATGGTGGTGTCATAGAGAACCTGGACGACCCAGACACAGTTCGCCGAGAGCAGGTTGTTCGCCCTGAGCTGGCACGCCTAGTCCGAGAATTCGAGGGATCAAAGGAATCAGATGAACGGAGGCACCATGAACAATACCCAAAATTTCAAGATGACTATAAGGTACGTTTCTGTTGTTTGGAAATTGAGAGATAACTATGCATTTCAGTAGTATGAATGATTTGTAATTTGTTTTTATCATTTTATTTTCAGACTGATGTACTGGCACTGGTGGATGCCTTTGAGGATCTGGGAAATCCCTTCATGGAGGATAGTGGGGATCTGCTGGAGTTAGATGAATCAATCGTCATGCCCCCAGATGTGGTAGACAGTGTAAGGGAAGCGAAGAACATTGGAATGAAAAGATACACAGTATTTGTTGACAAGCGAGTGAGGTCACAGGAGGAGGCATTCACAGCTCCAATACCACTCACCAGGCTGAAGTTGTTCAAGGCTCCAATTTCCCAACGATGCAACAAATCAGAGGTGGCTGTGGTCAAGGACCAACAAGCAAAAATGACCCAACTTTTGCTGGCTGTTCATTCTGGTCGCAAAATTGATGAGGGAGTGTTCTCACATGAAAGTTCTCCCCATCCACCTTCACTCACTCGGAAGGGAAAAATGCATCACGGAAACAAGAGTGAGATTCTAGATTGCATTGTCCCCAGAAATTTAGACAACCACAGACCTGTGACAACTGCAGCTGTGCTGGATGGTGCTGTCCTTGTTCAGATGCTTCGTCCTGGAAGTGCTGTGACCATTGGACAATATTTCACAGATGTGTTTGCACCATACATCCATTCCTGGTTTGAAAGAAATGACCGCGTTGACATTGTCTGGGATGTGTACTCTAAGACAAGTTTGAAGTCCGGAACTCGGGAGCAAAGAGGCACTGGTGCAAGAAGGAGGGTTACTCTCTCAACCAAAGTTCCTGGCAACTGGGCTTCCTTCCTACGAGTGGATCTGAACAAGCAGGAGTTGTTCATGGAGCTAGCCAAAAGCTTGAAGCTCATGACACTTCCACAGGTATTCAAAAAATTCAAATTCAAATTCAAAATGACTTTATTTATCCCAGAGGGGAAATTCAACTAGTCTGTTAGCTCTTCTGTAAATTATTGAAGAATTAGACAGCCTGATGGCTGTAGGAGCGAAGGATCTTAGAGGAGCCATCCACTGCTGTTTTTATGGTCCATTTATTTCTTAAACTGTTCTGTTACATGCTGTAGTCAATACAACTGACTTCACTGGCATATCCTCAGTGACATTCAGATATCCTATCTTTCTTGTTCCAGGGCAAGGAGCTCTTCACCACTATGCTTGAGGACTGTGTAAGTTCACCAGCTGGCATTGACACTGATGCACTGGCCCCTTGCACACATGAGGAAGCCGATACACGGATTTTCCTGCATGTGGCTGCCGCTACTGTTGCTGGACATCGTCGAGTGATTGTCCCAGCAGTGATAGTGATGTTGTTGTACTGGCCATTGCCACCTTTGTCGACCTTGGACAGAAGATCGACAAACTCTGGATTGCCTTTGGTGTACGGCGCCACTTCAGGTATAGAACATTTCACTAAGATGTATTTATTCTATTAGCTCTTATTTCAGTAGACCAATCAATAACTATTTTTCCCCTTTCCAGGTACATTCCAGCACATGCCATTGCTCACAGTCTTGGACCATCCAAGGAAATGGCACTGCCAGCATTTCATGCCCTAACGGGGTGTGACACTACCTCTGCATTCTTTGGCAAAGGCAAGAAAACAGCCTGGTCTGTGTGGCAGTCCCTGCCTGAGCTCACCTTACCACTTCAGCTGCTCTCTGGCCCAACCCCCACCACTGAGATGATCAGAACCCACACACCCACCCTCCAGAGATTTGTCCTGATGCTCTATGGTGTATCTGAGGACAACATCACAACTGTGGATGCTGCGCGACTCTCCCTCTTCTTCCACAAAGGAAAAGACTTTGACCACATGCCACCAAGCAGTGATGCACTCCATCAGCACCTCCTTCGAGTAGCTTATCAGGTAAGACAACTTTGCATAGGGGCATAATATAAACATGGCTAAGAATAATGAAGGGCCTTTGTATCACTAATCATGTTTCTCTCTAGAGTGGACATGTATGGGGCAATACACTTGTCAAAGACCATGCAACAGTATCGCCGTCTCTATGGGGATGGCAGCAGGATTCCCCAGACTCTCCACCAACTCCTGTCTACACTACAACTGCCACTATTTCAAAGGACTTGCCAGAACTTGTCATTTGCAAGTGTAAGACTGACTGTAAGGCACCTTGCAAATGCTGCATGCAGAGGCTGCCTTGCATGTCTCTCTGTGGATGTCGTGGCTCATGTTCCCACAGTGGTGCAGACATCTAAATAGAAAATCATCTTAGTGATGTATTTACACTAAACTATTAGTCTTCATCACTAGAACATTGTAGGTATGGCATTGCCTACTTCTAAACTGTGAACATAGTTATGAACTTGTTGTCTCACTAATCAGTTCCTTTGCATCAATAATACACATATTCAACACTAAGTTGTTATTTATTAAATTATTATTAAGTTGTGAATGGACTGTGTGTTTGGCATGTGTTTTTTAATAAAAAATTGCATACTTTACCTCCAATTGTCATGGTAAGGACAAAATTATTGTTTTTTAGTCTTGGAACCTATTTTATTGGCCTCCTTGACCCCAAATATGTACACGTTGATACCAAATTTGTCATTATAGCTATAACAGAAGCAAAGATATGGGCCTCTCAAGTATGGTCGCGGCCATTTTTAAAAAATGTGCATATATAAGATACAAAATGTGATCTCACTTGTGTCTTAGGATAAATTTATTTCTATGGCCCTAAGGTACTTCCATACCAAAGGGGACATTTGCATCATGACTTGAAGTCAAAAGTCACTTAACCTCCCTACTATTAATTACTCAATTATATCCTGATGGGTATTGACATATTTGGACATTTTTAATACCGTTGAAAGTGCAGCCTACTGACAGGGTTCCATCCACCTCCAGCGTTTTAAGATCATATTCAGTTTGCCATTCAATTCAATTCAATTCAATTAAGTTTTATTTGTATAGTGCCAAATCATAACAGAAGTTATCTCAGGACACTTTTCAAATAGAGCAGGTCTAGACTGAACTCCTTATAACATTATTCACACTAAAATGCAATGGTAAATGGATTGTACTTGTATAGTGCCTTTCTAGTCTTCCAAACACTCAATGCGCTTTTACACACATTCACACAGTGATTGCAAAGTCCATCGAACATAAACTAACTCATTCATGCACATTCACACACCGATGACACAGCATTGGGAGCAACTTGGGGTACAGTATCTTGCTCAAGGATAATTCGACATGCAGCCGGAGGAGCTGGGGGATCAAACCAACAACCTTCTGATTAGTGGACGACCCGCTCAATTTCTTAGCCGCTCCCAATGACCAAAGGCCAATTATTATTATCCTTCACTGTATTCAGGACAATGGCTGGTAGCAATCAACAAAACGGTGCACATCGTCCAGTCAGAACAATGGTTGGGCATCTTGCTGCTTATTTGGTGCTTCACTCTAAAGTAGCTGATACAATATAATACAGGTTTTGTTATTGGTATTTCCTTCTGTTAGCAGTCATCTGTTAACTGTACAAATATACTAATAGTCATTTAAACAAGAGTCTTAATACAGTAACAGAATACATTTCAATTGAAGGTGGATCAATGACCAATCAAATTTTACTACTTAACCCAAGTTGGACTCCATGTGAGTCAGTTGTGACTCTGTCACTGCAAGTAAAGAATCCAGTCTGCTATGCAGTTGATACAGTTAACTGATAAACCATCACATTAGGGTATAACATTAAAATGAACCCCTGCACATTGGAATGACTTCACTGTGAGTTATTTAGAAGTGAACAATGCGTTCACACCCTGGTATTTAGGATACCTGGTTTAAGTCATGGAAAATGATTGGCATGACAGACATTGCCCCTCTAACACTGTTTCCATTAAATTATGTCTAAATTATCTAAATGCTACTCCCTCTTCCTTTCAGACCTTACATTTCCATTGCCCATTAAGTCTTTAAAATGTTACAATTGGCAAGAACACATCTCTGGTATTAATGGTCTTAAGTTTGGTGCATAACTATCAAAAATAGCATTTTTCACGTTTAAATAAATGCTATGCCGTCAACGACCCAAGTCAAAAGATATTTTATGAGGCTGGAAAATATTTTCTAACAGACGCCTACTGACCTGATTTTATTTAGTGGCATTCAACAAGGTTTGTGATGTGCAGAATGCTAAAGAATTTCCTTTAGATCAAAAAGGTGGTGTTCCCAAACTGATATACTTGCCAGTCTATTCAGTCTATCCTGTGCCATGGTGCAAGTAGTTTTTAATTGGTTTTAACTTAAAAAAAAGATCTTGCTGCTGCTGCAACAGTGACAGGTTGCAGCAAAAAGATCTCAATATGAACATAGCAGGGCAGTGCGAGCATCACTGAAGCCACTTATGCTGATCCACAATAGGCATCTTTATTTTTTAAATCTGGTTTTGGGAATCATCAGGAGAGCATAATTTGCAGAGGACCTGTGCAGCTGCATTTTGGTTTGGTTGTAGAACTATGTTATATGCTGTTGAGTTGTGTACATTACACCCAGAGAAATATGTAATTTGTTCAGGTAATGATGCCTTTCTCCAGTCATCTGTCAATGTCATCCCCATTTGTCCATGTATCAGTGTTGTGGTTGTCTGCAGTTGTTATAAATTGACTTTCTATCCACATTTTTGTGTTTTTTAACTTTATATTTGAATCAGATTAATGATAAATGGTAAATGGACCTGTACTTTCTAGTCTTCCGACCACTCAAAGCACTTTTACACTACATGCCACATTCACTCTTTCACTCACATTCATTCAGTGATGGCAAAGTCGATCGAACTAACTCATTCATACACAGCATCGGGAGCAATTCGGGGTACATTATCTTGCTCAAGGATACTTCGACATGCAGCCGGAGGAGCTGGGGAATCAAACCAACAACCTTCTCATTAGTGGAGAGTATCTTCCTCAAGGACACTTCGACATGTGGCACCAGGAGCCAGGGATCGAACCCAGGACCTTCTGATCAAGGAACAACCCGCTCTGCCTCTGAGCCACAGGAATTTAGTTATTAGACGTCTGGATTTTAAGTTATCAGAGAAACAAGCTGAGCTAACTTTAGCAGCAGCTTGACTCTGGGACTTTTGTTTGCAAAAGTGTTGGAGAAACAGCTTAATTTTTTTCAGAGATGAGGAGAACTAAAAGCATAATTCGTTACCTGGTAAAAACCTCCAGAATGTCTGGATCACATCTGGAAGTTATGAGAGAAACAAGCAGGGCTGATGTTAGCGGTAGCTCGGCTTGCAGGATTTTGTGGTAGTCCTTTATCTACTGAACAGTGTCAGAGAGGTCACTTCTCAGTTAAACAAACATACTGTACTGTAGTACTTTTCTGAAATGGCTGATTATTTTCTTGGAAGGACAGCCTTGCATTGCTACATAGGTTTTAAGTAAGGACAGTATGGTCCCAAAGTAGTGGGTTAAACTTGCTTGATTGAACTTTCGTTGTTTGAGTTTGTCTTATTTTGTGATTTATTATGTATTCATCATTTATAATGTATTCAGTTATGTATTCATTCATTTGAGCTAATTTTGTATTATGTGTGTTTTGTCTTGTTTTGACATGGTATTGTGTGTGTTATATCTGACAGGATGTACAGACGAACTTCCAACATGGCTGGTCTCAGTTATCCCCCAAATGCCATCACTGCGCTCAAGGTATTTATGTTTGTTTGTGTATGGTGAAATCATATACAAATAGCAATGAACATTCATTTTATTTTGTACAAAGGTTTTGATACTAAACACATGCTGAGTTTTAAAAATCTTAATTCAATCAGTCCATTATTGAGTTGACAGGTGGAGGACTGAGTAAGGGGTTTTGAATGGAGGGATAAAGTTGAGGTTGAAGAGTGGGATTAATTGACAGTTTGATAATGATAAGGTTAATGATGAGGCTTGCGATAACAGCAGATGTGCACTGATGACAAATAATAATTTGCTGTTACTACCCAATGATGGTACAAACCTTTTCAATTGTGAAGGCCTGTTTACTTTTACTAAACTATTTAAGTCAATTTTAAAGGAAAAATTAAAGGACTCTTTATTAGTCATTATAAAGCACTTATTAATGTCTGTCTTTTATATGATGGTAATACCACTAGAATACCCATTCTCTTCCATTGTGTACCATTTAGAAGGATATATTGGCAGAAATGGAATATAATATTCATAGGTATGTAAATAGGAAAATAGGAATTTTTTTTTTTGTTACCTTAGAATGAGCTGTTTTTATCTATAGACACCACAGGGCGCCTTCCATGGCATCAGCCATGTTGAGCTGCCATGTTTCTACAGTAGCCCAGAACGGACAAGCTAAACACTGGCTCAAGATTGGGGCATTGGAGTTTTTCACGCATTTCGCAGATACGTGCTTTATAATGACTAATAAAGAGCCAATATGATACTAATATGCATGCTAATAAGTAACTGGTTAATGGTGAATATGTGTACCTTAATATAAAGTGTTACCATAATTTTACATCTTATGTATGACACCTTAAAAAAATAAGGTGCCATAGCAATGAACACATGAACAGGTATGTCGATATTCAAGCGCTAACAAAATTTGCTTGTATGTCTCTTTTCTAGCATGTGGACATGTGGTCCTTCGATGTGTTTGCACTCAATGATGCTAGCGGAGACCACGCTCTGAAATTTGTCTTCTATGAACTGCTTACCAGATATGACTTGATCAATCGTTTCAAGGTACACCAAAAATCTTCCAATGCCTTTATCACTCATTTTAGATGTGTCAAGACATTTTCTAATAGATCAGATGTCAGATGGGCTACTGTAGCTCAAATTGATTAAAAAGTCAATGATGGTTCCTATCCTATAACTATGGTTAATTTACATTAATGCTGCAGTGTTTGTCATCATGCTTCTTTGTTGTGTTGCCTCCATTTCAGGTCCCTGTTTCTGCTCTCATTTCATTTGTGGACTCTTTGGAGGTGGGCTACAGCAAACACAAGAACCCATACCACAACCTGATGCATGCTGCTGATGTCACCCAGACCATCCATTACCTGCTCCTTAAGACTGGCATGGTGGTAAGTCTTGTGTTGGGTGGATGCAAAATGGAGAAAAGAGTACTTAAAGCCACTCAGCATAAAGAGATTTTCATGATTCAAAACCCAAACTTCTACCTTTGTCTCACACATTTGACCAGTAGAAATGAATATAGAAATGACCTCTAACAATTTTACTCATGAAGGTCACTTGTTTACTAGTCATGATAACTCATCATAACTGTCAAGTTTGAGAAAATATCCCTGATCTTGTAATTATAATGTCACTACCTCAGCTTGGACTGGGAGAATACAATTTAATGGAAGCTTGTATGACAAGTTAAAGGTGTAGTTTGAAAGACCCTTGAGTTGAACTGGGGGTCTAATAAAAAGACTCTATCGATTTGCCTTAAGGAAAGTGTAGGATTCATTGTTTTTGACCCATATTAGGGAATTGTGTTTTTTTGCCACAGTGCTTGCTCATAGTAGGGTGCTGGGGGAATAATTTATTAGGAGTACAGTCTAGACCTGCTTTATAAGAATATGTCCATAGATAATTTATGTTTCATCGCTATGCAAATACATTTTTAGTTTTTAGTTTTTAGTGAGTCTTCTAGTCTGTTGGAAGTACAATATTAAATTGTTTAAAACTAAAGCAGCAGGGGTAAGTGACATTTGCAACTTTCACTTTCACACAGTGGGGTAATAGCTTCAAACTGACAGTACAGTAAAGTAAGAAAATCCTGGATATAAAGCATTGCTCATAAAATTCAAGCATCTTGGGTAACCTTGATCATGGGGTTCTGTTTGTTGTCTCTCTCGCAGCACTGGCTTACTGAGTTGGAGATCTTTGCCATAATTTTTGCAGCTGCCATCCATGACTTTGAACATACAGGAACCACCAATAACTTCCATATTCAGACTAGGTAATTTCCACTCAGGACATGAAAAAAGTCATACATTATTATTATTATTATTATTATTTACAAAAAGTCTTATGATGAATGTACGTGTGGGGTTTGCAGGTCAGACACAGCCATGTTGTACAATGACCGAGCTGTTCTGGAGAACCACCATGTCAGCGCTGCCTATCGTCTTCTACAGGATGATGATGAAATGAACATCTTCTCCAATCTCTCCAAAGATGACTGGAGGTGAGGGAAACTTAACCAAGTAGCATAACTGAGACCTGTGAGGGTATCTTGTCTGTGTGAGATGCCAAGGGGCATGACAAAGCAGTATGTGATGACCTAGAGTGAGAACGTGTTGGATGATGGTGTTATTTTAATTCCTTCTGAAGAGAATGTGACTGTTCTGGCAATCCATCTAACATTTGTTGAGACATTTCACTCTCATTCCTTTTTTCAGAGAACTACGGACTCTGGTAGTAGAGATGGTGTTGGCCACTGACATGTCCTGCCACTTCCAGCAGATCAAAGCCATGAAGGGCTTCCTGCAGCAGCCTGATGCGTGAGTAGTGGATTGCACTTCTGAGTCACTGTCAGTTTTGTTGACATCCACCCAAGTTATAACCTTGGCTTCTTTACAAATCCCAACACCTAAAGCTGAGTTCACACTACATGATTTTAGCTTTGATCTTCCACTCACCAACAGTTTTGGGTGATCACCAACAAATGCCCCCAGATCCAAGGCAAATCAGCACTTACTGTTGGTTGCTATATGTGAACTGTTAAAAGACACTACCCACAGGCTCACAGAGAGCTTGCTGATGCCTCACAGATGCCCGAAAAATATCTTGCAGGCTAGATATCTAGTCATGCCAGGGAGCAATGCAATGACTTACAGCCAATGAGAGGAGACATTGGCTTCAATGTAGCACCAGACAGGAAGCAACAAATTGGGTAATTACTTTGCTAACGACTGAAAAAAAATCATTAACCATCGTCAAACACATAATATATGGTGAATAAACAGTGTTATGAGTGTGTGTTCAATTCGGTGTGTATCTGGTCCACCAACCATCACTTCCGGGACCAGGACTGAATGCAGCATTCAATGCAGACAGAGGACCTGTGCCTGTTTTTAAACTACTTTCCTAATTAAACATGTGCCAGTTGGTAATGTTATTATGTTGTAGTGTTAATAATGACTCCTAATGAAATAAGGTTTGAAGACCAGACAGACTCTGGGATAACATGTTGTAAAAGATCTTGTGTGTGACCCCCTGTTATTGATCAGTCACATAGTGTGAAAACCACAACGACTTCAAGACTCCAAACAATACAAGACACAAAGTTGTATATCATCTGATGACCTTGAAAGTCATGCAGTGCAATCAAGGCTTTAGTGGGGATGCTGACGCTATAAAATCATGAGGCATCATTTAAGCACCTTTATAATTATTTCAAGTATTACACAAAATACTAAATATTGTCGTTTGCCTGATTTGACTTGCACTAGCTTTTTCTACTAGTTGGGTGAAAACTTGAGTTCCTTATTGATTATGTGGTGAAAAACAGAATGTATGCCAAGAAAACATTCTCATATTCACATAAATAAACATATACCACATGACCAGGCTCTCTCCCAATGGGTCTGGGGGCTGTTCAGGATGTGTGACTTCTCAAGGAAACCTCTCCCTCTCTCAGCAGTGAAGAAAAAAGACAAAAAATACACAATGGAAATATCATAAAATGGCAGATGAGGGCTGGACCCAGGATATCACAGGTTACCTCTTACAGGAAAATTCAACTTCCCTACCCACGTTTTCAGTTTCAGTTAATTCACTAAGTCCTTTTGCTGAAATTAGTTTGATTTTAACTCCTTCCCAGAAGTTCTTAGAAACAAATTTCTACATTAGTAATTAGGAGGTGAAGGTAACAAAAGCACAGTTTGTTGTTAGGAAAAAATATATAATCTCTATGAGAACACCTTGTTGTACAATATGAGTGTTAGTGTCTTCTCAATATGAATTACACAGCACATCCCAGTGTGTTGCTTCACAGTAGCCCTTATAACGCCTCACTGGTCTCCTGTGACCATGTTCTCACAGTCCTAGTAGTCCTAGGCTGGTGCTGGACTTAAGGCTTACAAGGGAAGAGGGTGGTTCAGGTTGTATCTGATCTTTTGAGGGAAGGAAACTTGGAACTCCGTGATCTGTGCTCTTAACCTAAGATGGCACCACGGACAGTCACTTGGGTGTGTTGGTGCGCTTCTTGTGTGATTTTTGTGTGATTTGTATATTTTTGTGTGATTTTATATTTTTGTTTTATTGTATATTTTAAGCACCATTGCACCAAGATAAATTCCTCGTATCTGTAAAAACCTACCTGGCAATAAATCTCATTCTGATTCTGATTCTGATTCCTGAACATTAGTGTACAGCAGGTCCAGGTCCATTTAAGTCTCTCCCACTCAGTGGCCAGACTAGAGAGAGCTTGGCCTTGAGCCTTTCAGGAGTACTGTCTCATCAAACCTAAGGAGGCTCCACTTCTGCTTGAGCAAGATACTGAACCCCAAATTGCCAATGCTGTGCATCGGTGTGTGAATGTGTATGAATGTGTTAGTCTCTGTTCGATGGGCTTTGCCATCACTGAGTGAATGTGTGTGAAAGGGCGAATGTGGCATGTAGTGTAAAGTGCTTTGAGTGGTCGGAAGACTAGAAAGGCACTATGCTATCATTTACCATTAGCAGTTTACATGACATCTCCCATATCACTGGTGCATGTTGTATTGGGCCACGATTACTAGCCAAGGAGCAGAAGCATGGTGTTAGTATATTAATATAGGCAAATCTGAGTCAAAAAGTCGAGGGTCATTTTTCATTCCTAGTCCGTCACTGATTACTTTAAAGACGCAGAGTATCACATGAGTTACCAAATTTGGGCACAAGCAAGTACTTTTGGACAGCAGCAGGTTGTGTCAGTGACAGCAGCCCAGCAGTGACTGACTGCACTATATTTGTATTTTTAGGATTGACAAACCGAAGGCCTTATCCCTGTTGCTGCACACTGCTGATATCAGCCACCCTGCCAAACGGTGGGACATCCATCATCGCTGGACCACATCTCTGCTGGAGGAGTTCTTCAGACAGGTAGTCACAAAAATAACCATGTAACCAACTCCCTGCTTTACTGGCCTGGGGCCTTTTATAGATATAGATATAACGGGGCCTGACCATGAAGAGCTTTGTAGGTGAGGAGGAGGATTTTAAATTCTATTCTAAATTTTACAGGGAGCAAGTGCAGAGACGCTAGTACAGGAGAGATATGATCTCTTTTCCTAGTTCCTGTCAGTCAGCTTATGCAGCCCCATACGCAACAAACTGCAATGATGATCCTTGGATCACTTTTGATAGGTACTGACCACTGCAGACAGGGAACACCCCACAAGAGCTGCAGTTTTGGAGATGCTCTGACCCAGTTGTCTAGCCATCACAATTGTTGTTGCGATGCATGTGTTGTAACTGGAAAATGACACTCCCTCTAGTGGTACATTTGAGTAATGCAGGCTATAGATGCACTTCCTGTTAACTCCACAGAAGAACTTAATGCCACATGGCATCCATTAAGCCCAGATGTGGGACCATTTGTGGAAAAACTACCTTTCCACCTCTGGGAAAAATGGATGTCCATAGGATCAAAGTATAAAGAAGATTACAATGTAACCTTCCCACCATTTTACTTCTTTGTGAAGTTTGTACAACGAGAGGCCAAAGCTTGTTATGACCCAAGTTTTAACACAACATTTCTCTCCTCACCTGCACAGAAGAAGGAAAGGTTTGCAGGAAACAGCAGCAAAACACCTGTCTCAGTACACAAAACTAATGTGTCTACAGAAACCAGCAAAGCTCACAAAGCGGTGGAAGTCCCAAATAAGCAGTGCCCTGTCCACCACAAACCTCACCCCTTACGCAAGTACAGAGGTTTCAGGGCAATGCTTATGATAGTAAGAGGGTCCTTAGAGACAATTCCATCTGTTTCCACTGCTGTGCTTCAACTTATCCCCTAGCCAAGAATTGTGATGTGGTGGTGACAGAGATATGTTACTGTCAGGAACTGACCTTCTGTGGAACTGGAGTCAATGGCAAATCAGGTTCAAAGATATGCCTAGTAGATGTATATGCTACTGATCATCCGAAGATATCAAGAGAATGTATGTCATCTTTTGGGAAAACATTCCCTTGCCAAGGCAGAGTTCTTCGAGATGTTTGGCATTCAAGGAACCACAAGTCTTTATACCTTTTACATGTGCAGGAACAAAAGAAGCAGCAGGTAGGAGAGCATTAAGCTACATGGTGGAGTCAGTTGATGGGATGTGAAAGTCTCCTTATTGTCAGGGATGACTACAGCCTAGGAGGCAATCAGAGAGCAATACTATGGAATCTAAAGAAAACAGGCAGTAAAAGCTACCACTGAAGAGAGCATAATAGGTATACATGATAATCAGCTTGCACCTTCCATTGAGGACAGGACCTTCTTGGAGATAATGGAGAAGACATTTTCCAAGGATGGTAGCAACAACTAGGTTGTTCCGTTTCTATTTTGCAGCCCCAGGCGTCTCCTTGCCAATAACTGAGACTATGCCTACAAGAGATTGATGTCACTCAGACGCACCCTCAACAAGAAACCAATCATGAACGCTCAGTACATCGAGTTTATGCAGAAACTATTTGACAACAACCATGCACAGCCAGCACCACCTCTGCAAGAAGGCCAGGAATGCTGGTATCTGCCTACCTTTGGTGTGTATCACCTCCAGATGCCTGACCAAACTCTGTGTGGTCTTCGACTCCAGCGCAAAGGTTGATTCAATTCAATTCAATTCAATTTTATTTGTATAGCGCCAACTCATAACAGAAGTTATCTAAGGACACTTTTCAAATAGAGCAGGTCTAGACTAAACTTCTTATAACATTATTTACAGAGACCCAACAGTACCACCATGAGCAAGCACTTGGCGATGGGGGCAAGGAAAAACTGCCTTTTAAGAGGCAGAAACCTAGGACAGACCCTTCGGCTCTAGGTGGGTGGTCGTCTGCCTCGACCAGTTGGGGTGAGAGAGAGAGAGAGAGAGAGAGAGAGAGACAGACAGACAGACAGACAGACAGAGACAGACAGACAGACAGACAGACAGACAGTTGCACAGCAACAACAGTAGCAACAACTACACCAATAGTAGTGACTGATGATGATGAACTTAAAGAAGACGATGACAACGACAACAGCAACGATGGGGGACAATGAGCAGTGACAATAGTAATAATAGTAACTATAGTAATAATAATAATATTAATAATAATAATAATAACAATAATATCAGTGATATTAGCAATGGCAGTCAAGCAGGACCATGGCAGGAGGCACCACTAGGATCCATGAGAACCTGCGAGACGAGAAAGCACAAGAACTCTGGGGAAGAAGTTAGTAACATGCATTAATGGGACATGAATGAGTGCAGAAAGAGAGGGAGAGGAAGAGAGGAGCTCAGTGCATCATGGGAAATCCCCCGATAGTCTAGGCCTATAGCAGCATAACTAAGGGATGGTTCAGGACTCACCTGAGCCGGCCCTAACTCTAGGCTTTATCAAAGACAAACTTAAGCCTACTCTTAAATATTGAGAGGGTGTCTGCCTCCCGAACCACAACTGGAAGCTGGTTCCACAGGAGAGGAGCTTGGTAACCGAAGGCTCTGGCTCCTATTCTACTTTTAGAGACTATAGGAACCACAAGAAGCCCTGCATTCAGAGAACCGAGTGTTCTAGAGGGTAAATAGGGTGCTATGAGCTCTTTAAGATATGAAAGGGCCTGACCATGAAGAGCTTTGTAGGTGAGGAGGAGGAGGATTTTAAATTCTATTCTAAATTTTACAGCGAGCCATTGCAGAGAAGCTAGTACAGAAGAGATGTGATCTCTTTTCCTAGTTCCTCTCAGTACTCGTGCTGCAGTGTTCTGAATTAATTGGAGCGTCTTAATGGACTTATTGGGGCAGCCTGATAATAAGGAGTTGCAGTAATCCGGCCTAGAAGTAACAAAGGCATGGATTAGTTTTTCTGCATTCGTCTGTGACAGGATGTGTCTAATTTTTGTAATACTACGTAAATGAAAGAAGGCAGTCCTGGAGGTTTGCTTTGTATGGGAATTAAATGACATGTCCTGATCAAAGATAACTCCAAGATTCCTGACAGTGGTGCTAGAGGCCAAGGTAATGCCATCTAGAGTGACTATATCTTTAGACAGAGAGTCTCTGAGGTTTTTGGGGCCAAGTACAAGAATTTTGTTTTTTTCAGTTTAACATCAGAATATTGCAGCTCATCCAGAACTAAAGACATGTTTGTAATTTAGATAATTGATTAATTTCATCGTGCTTGATAGATAGATATAACTGTGTATCATCTGCATAGCAATGAAAGTTAATGAAGTGATTCCTTATGTTGCCTAAAGGAAGCATATATAAAGTAAATAGTATTGGTTTAAGTACAGAACCTTGTGGAACTCCATAACTAACAGTAGTATTTATGGAGGATTCATCGTTAATGTGTACAAACTGAGAACGATCTGATAAGTATGACCTAACCCAGCTTAGTGCGGTTCCTGTATTGCCAATTTGATGCTCAAGTCTCTGTAAAAGAATATCATGGTCACCGGTGTCAAATGCAGTACTAAGATCTAAAAATACAAGTACAGAGACAAATCCATTGTCGGAAGCAATCAAAGGTCATTATTAACTTTAAACAGAGCTGTCTCTGTGCTGTTGATGAACTCTAAATCCTGATTGAAAATCCTCAAATAAGCTATTGTTATGTAGAAAGTCACACAACTGTTTGGCGACTACTTTCTCCAGACTCTTAGAGAGGAAGGGGAGGTTAGAAATCAGTCTATAGTTGCCTAAAACCCCTGGGTCAAGAGTGGGCTTTTTAAGAAGGGGTTTAACTACAGCTACTTTAAAGGACTGTGATACATATCCTGACAATAAAGAAAGATTTATCATATCCAGTAAGAAGTGCCAATTAAGGGAACGACTTCTTTAAGCAGCCTAGTTGGGATGGGGTCTAACAGACAGGTTGATGGCTTTGTTGAAGAAATTATTGAAATTAACTGATGAAGATTGATGGCAGAAAAACATTCTAAATATATATCTGATTTAACATTAGTTAAAGTTCCTGAACTTGGAGAGCCAGTGATACCTGTTGAGGGCATTTGGTGATTAATTTTTTCTCTAATAGTAATAATTTTATCATAAAAGAAGCTCATGGAATCATTGCTACTTAAGCTTCTGGGGATATGTGGCTCAATAAAGCTGTGACTCTCTGTCAGCCTTGCTACAGTGCTGAAGAGGAACCTGAGGTTGCTGTTATTTTCTTCTATTAGTGCTGAATAATAGGCTCCTCTGGCATTACGGAGGGTCTTTCTATAGGTTTTAAGATTATCTTGCCAATTTGAGCGATATTCTAATAATTTCGAAGAGCGTCATTTCGTTTCAGATTTCCTTGCTTTTAGCTTTAATTGGCAGGTTTGGTGGTTGTACCACAATGCTAGTTTCCTATGTTTTAATATTTTCCTCTTCATAGGAGCGATAGAATCTAATGTTTATCATAGTGAGTCTGCAGCACTATTAACAAGATGGGGAGAGAGGAACTAAAGTTATTATAGGACTCTGTTATATTCAGACATGGCACTGAATTAAACACTGATGGATCTCCTCCTTAAATTAAGATACTGTAAGATAGGCATCTGCTGTAGGAAGTTTTGACCAAAGGCCTATAATCTAGTAATAGGAATTCAAAAGTTATTAAATAATGTTCAGATAGGAAAGGGTTTTGAGGGAAGACTATTAAATGTTAAACATCAATATATAATAATATATGGTCCAGAGAACACTACGGAGTCCGACATTGTTTTTGTATATCTACACATCGACTCCACATTAATTTAAGTGACCTCCGATTGGCGTAATCGGGTGTCATTACCGCTGACATGAATAACAATCTTACTATATTCACGCTTATCTTTAGCCAGCAGTTTCAAATACGATTCGATGTCGCCCGCTCTGGCCCCAGGGATACATTTACTGGATACATGGTCGCTGGCTTCGCTAGGTTTACGTTTCTGACTATCGAGCTGCCAATAATCAGAGTTGGATTTCTCAGCGGGTGTGTCGCTGAGTGGGGACAATTTATTAGAAACATCAACCTGTTGGTGGTGAACTGTGGGCTTCAGCGGTTTATTCTTCTTTCGTTCAGTCACCCAGCCTCCCTGGCTTCCCGGCTGCTCGGGTTGATGGGGTGTCACTGTGCTTCTGTCAGGACTTGATCTGAATAACAGCTTGTTGGGGGTCCTCCTCCAATTCCGCAAAGAACCAGTTGCTCTCACTGCAGACATCCAGCAGATGTTTTACAGCTTCGCTGTACAAGAGAATGACAGGGATGTCCTGCAGTACTTGTGGTTTCGTGACAACAACTTCAACAATGAGGTTGTCGATTTCTGCATGAGAGTTCAAATTTTCGGCACCAGCCACCAGCTGTGGCTATCTTTGGCTTGAGGAAGCCAGCAAGAAATGCAGAGAATATGTATGGCAGTGATGTAAGGCAGTTTATAGAAAAATAATTCTATGTGAATGATGCTCTAAAGTCTTTTCCTACAGAAGCTGAAGCCATCGATGTACTGCAAAGATCCTGTGAGGCGCTTGCACTCTCAAACTTCAAACATCAAAAATATTAAGACCTAGACCTGGGACATCATGGTGGATACGTTTGTCTTCAAGGTTCCTGAGCATGAGAAGCCTGTTGTCGTCGTCATCATCATCTTCTTCATGTTCATCATCATTATCAACATTAGTCACTACTATCAGTGTAGTTGTTGCTATTGTTGTTGCTGTGCACCTTTGTCTCTGCCTTTGTCGTTACCTCTGTTCTCTCGCTCTCTCTCACCCTCAACTGGTCGGGGCAGATGGCCACCCACCTAGAGCCAAGTTCCGGATGTCGGACGTGGATGCACAAAGCATTAGTAGAGCAACTGCACTGTGTTTTATAGAATTACCCAAAGTAGTACTTGATGAAGGAAAAAGTAGCACACTTGAGCAAGTACAATACATACATCTATTTGGCTATTGGCCACTTGTTGCATCCTTTTAGCAGCAGGTGATAGATTCATTATCTGAAAAAGCAATCATTTTCCTTTATAATTAGTATAGTTACCTGAAAATAAGAATCATTATGTCTTTGGTACCCTAGATAGAGCTTTTTAGATGCCACAGTTCACCTTGGAGTCTGTCATGCCATCTTTCTCCAATAGCCCACAAGGGACAAACCAAACACTGGCTCTAGGTAGGGGCATTTGTGTTTCTCATGCTTTTCAGGAACTGGAACGCTAGTTGATTAAATTCTACACACTGAACTCTCAATATTTGGGTTTTCATCAAAATACATTATTAACCACAGTTGTGATGCTTGGCAAAGTTTACATCCCAATACATAAATATATAATATAATATTTTTTATCTTCTGGAAAAGATATTTATGAAAGGTAGAGCAAAAGCACAGGTATAAATAAATGGGAGATCCTGACAATACCAAAAAGTCTTCTTTTTGTTTTCTGCTATATGATGAAGTATTTAATTTGAACTGAACTTAAAAGTGATTTGTTTTCTTATAATTATAAGATGCTTTTGCTCTACCTTTCATAAATATCTTTTCCAGAAGATAAAAAATATTATATTATATACATTTTGTACAGAACATACTTGTCAAGTACAGTAGCTACAAATAAATGTTCTGTACAAAATGTATGTTTTAAGGCATTACAATATCCCCACACCACAAACTATTTTAACAGAAATCAAACATTAAGAAACAAATAACATTAAGTATTTAATATTTAAAACACTTTTTTCTTTTTAAGCACAATGCACTCTTGGCTATCGCCCTCTCCCAACAGGATATTCATTACACAGGCTTTCTACTATCATAACACTGGCTCACTTTTAACCAGTGAGCTGACTAATTTATGCTATATTGGTCATTTGCTCTGCACAAAGGATTAGTTCAAGACATGTAACCAATCAATCATAGTAACAATGTTGTTACTATTTCAACAGGATCCCAGCATAAATAGTAATGACAAGCAAAGAATTGAAGTTTTCAGATGTATCAGTTTTATCATTTTGCTTTTCATGATAGATATTGCAGAGGTGTAAGAGACATTTCTGTCACAACCAGATGTACACTCACAATTAGAGGGATATGTGTTTCAAAGGCCAAACTGGTCTGATTGGCTGTCTCTGCTGGCTGTTGACCTTAAGTGAACCTGCCCAAGTGCACCTTTGCTGACAGTACCTAGTGATGTTGAATTTGTTTTCAGGGTGATAAAGAAGCAGAGCTAGGTCTACCTTTCTCCCCTCTCTGTGACCGCAAATCCACCATGGTGGCCCAGTCCCAGATCGGTAAGGCACACAAATTCAAGTAATGCTGCTCAGTGTGGGATTCACAGTATATTTAACACCAAAAATCAAGTCTGTTTATCTAGTCAATTTATGACAGCAGCTTTTCATGTTTAACAGGTTTAGCCATTGTACAGTTCAGCACAGGTCACTGTTCTATGTTATGGAATCCACTGATTTACTGAATCTCTAGGGAATTCGTCCTGCATTTTGTTTCTTTTTGTCTATTCAAATCATGCAAATAAATTTAAACATTCCATGTAGGAACTTGAATACATATTTAAACTTCTTTGGAATCCTAATGAATTATTTACATCCCTGAAATGAAAACACAAAGATTGGAATTTCTAGATAAGCGAGAAACACTTGTTACTTGATTATTTGACTGACACTGTTTCAGATGGTTTTGTTAAGATCTTGTATACTACAGATGCAGACATCTAATGATTTCCTGGTTTTAACAAAAACAAGCAGAAGGTAAAAAGAGAATGTTAATCTGGCATGGTCCCTGTATCCTGCAGGATTCATTGACTTCATTGTTGAGCCAACATTTACCGTGCTGACGGACATGATCGAGAAGATTGTGACACCGCTCATTGAGGAGGCATCCCACTCTGGACTGCCTGGCTTCAGACGATGCAGGTGACACACACTAGAGTCTGTAGACCCTCAGTCCTGTGTGACACTCCTGAAACTCATGTTGTTATAATACTGAAACATCATGAAATAAGACACCAATCCCTCCTGACATATACTGTATATCTTAGCTCTGTTTAGACCAAAGATTCACAATGAGACATGTTGAAACTTGCACCAATACAACTAGACAGGACAGTGTATTGTCTCCAAAACAATGACTCTCTGTGCTTCCATTCTAACTGTCAGGATTTTTTTTGTAGCTGAATATCATTTGTAGCATCTTACCATTTTTATAAGAGTTACTTCCTACAGTTGCATTTCTAGCATTGATAACACTGCAAAAACATTTTAATAATTTAATTTTAATAATTAACATGTTAAAAAACGAAGTTAATGTAATGATCTATCATGACCACACTTAGTTATAGGGTTAAGTTCAAATAAAAAATACACATTTTGAAAAAATCTGAATTAAATCAGAATATATTTCTGCTACCCCTTAAAGTCTCTATGTCACCCTCTAGTTACCCCGTCAATATTTCTCTAGATTCAATTCAATTCAATTCAATTCAATTTTATTTGTATAGCGCCAATTCATAACAGAAGTTATCTCAGGACACTTTTCAAATAGAGCAGGTCTAGACCGAACTCTTTAAAACATTAGATCTATCCCTGTGTGTGTTTTGATTGACTTCTCCCTCATTCTACTGCTAATTTTGATACAGTTGTTAATGTGAGACTAATCTTTAACCTTTAACATTCTCACTGGTTTACTTAATTTGGCTTGACCTGTCAGTATTAAGACATAGTATATACTGAATAGTTCATATTGTTAGTATGTAGCATTGGACTGCAACATATCAAAAATGTGTGTAGATCACTCTTACATTTATGTATTCCTAACAACATTTTTCCGCCCAAAATTAGGGCTGGGCAATAAATCGATTTTATCGATTAATTAGAATTTGTAGTTAAACACGATTTATTTTTAGTTAAAATCAGTTTTCTCTTGAACTTCCACAACACCGGCGCTCCCTTTGGGCTCCCATAGGTCAGAGTGCCCTGACCCCTCCCCCGCCTCTCCACAGATAAACACAACATGGCAGTAAGCCAGGATGAGCTCGTCTCCAAAAAAGGCACAGTGTCGTTGGTTGTATGGAACTGGTTTGGTTTTGTGGCGTCCAACAGCGAACAAACCACGACCCACTGCAAAGTTTGTTTGAAAGCTGTTGCAACCAAAGGTAGCAGTACGATCAATTTATTCCAGCACCTCAAGCAGAGGCATGCAGTCGAGTGGGAAAAATGTTGCTCTCTGCAAGATATACAGGACCGCAGCTCACAAACACCCGCTAAAAAACAGTCTACAAAAAAAACAATTAATATCGTAAATCGGGTTTGGTGTGAAAAAATCTGAGATTTTATCTTTAAGCCATATCGCCCAGCCCTACCCAAAATGTATGATCTTGACACCTGTTAAAAATCAGAAAGGGGTCTGTGGGCTTTCTATGACACAAAATACATTATACATCCATATGTATGTAGGTAATATTGCCACTAGTAATGGGTCGGTCGCGAACGATCCGGCTCTAAGAGCGGGCTCTTTGAAGTGAACGACGGGAGCCGGCTCCTGATTGGGAGCCAGATCCGGAATTTTTTTTCCTGTTAAAGCCGAGTGATTGGTCAAGATGTGTGGTGGCATCTGTGTATCTACACTGAGCAGGAGGGGGGAGGGAGGGGTTACAGACACACAGGGCACAGTGAGCAAGTGAACCGGTGGGAGGGAGATGTGAGAGAACGAGAGAACTTGGCGCTACATAGACAGAGACTACACACTGGAAAGGTGAGGAATACGAGTGACAGGAAATGTAATAAAGTTTGGACATATATGTATGTGGTAGACAGTTCAAAGGCAGAGTATCGACTGCAAAGTTAAAAATTTCATATCAAGCAGCTTTTTGTCTAATAAAGATGGGTCTTTGTTTTTGTGTTTTATAATTTATTTTTGTAGCACTCTGTTCCATGTTGAGTATATTAATAAATCCATATAAATACTTAACATTTGATATAATGCATGTATTTACATTAGATATTCATTTTACACATAATTTGGTAATAAATTAATTTAAGCAACAAAAAATATGAGGAGCCACTTGGGAACCGAAAGAGCCGGCTCTTTTTAGTGAGCCGGGCCAAAGGAGCCGGTTCTCTAAAAAGATCTGGAATTCCCATCACTAATTGCCACTAGATGTCAGTGTGGGGCCATGAGATGAGGAGAGCATGAGTGACTCTCTTGCCAGGAACCAGCTGTCATTAGTTAAAGAAATTATGAATTACAAATTAAGATGATATAGACAATTTAGTCTGTATGATTAAACAATCTACAGCTGTAAATCTATGTACAGTAGTTACAGTGTTGATGAAACATGGTTCATAATCAGTCTTAACTAACTACATCACAACAGACTGAGCGAAATAAACAATCCATTGCCATCTGCTGTAGTGTCTTTTTTAATACTACATCTATGAGTCACCAAAAGTCTGAAAATGTCAAATACTGCACATAGTAGTATATATATAATATATTAATTGAATAATGCAGTGCAATAGATGGAGACAATGGTGAGACTCTTTAGTCTGCTATAGACCAGTGCAGAGACTTAATGCATGCAATATACTGCAGGTCCTTTATATTGCATCAAGAAAAACAATAATTTTCTGTACAAATTGCACAGATTGATGTCTCAGTGTTTGTGTGTAAAGCATTTTTTAATTGGTGACCTAAAATTAATGCAATTTTAATTTCAACCCTATGTAACTGTCATGCTTAAAGGTAATACCATATTAAACAAACTAGTACTGTATAACAATATACATTATTATTTAATTAATACATTTTAAGCATTTTTCATCACAGAAAAAAAAAAAAACACAGTTGCAACATTGTTTTATTTTTTGTTTTTTGGTCACTCAGCTAAAGACTAAAACAAATATATCAAGTTTTTGGTCTCCACCAACTCCTGAGAAAACTATATCTGGCCAAAAAACTCAGACCTGAGTTGGTGATAATTTACTCTTCTTAAGTCCTGCCCCTTTTTGCTCTGTTCTCCAATAACAGTTGAGCAAGTTTCGGTCAGAACCTTGGTCCAAAAGAATCACCAGAACTAAAGCCAGAGCAACCATTTCTTTAATTGGAACAGACTCCCATCTTGTCTGCAAAGTTCCACTGTTTTAACAGTTAGTGCATTTGTATGACTGAATATGTGTATATGTGTTTGATTTGTGCCCATCCATGTCTACACTGTCCACAGTGTCAACAGTATTAGTGGCAGTGATGGAAAGCATTCCAGTGTGAAGAGTACAGGCTCAGAGGGCAGCTGCTCTTTGACCACAGTGGACTTCAAAAGCTTCAAGGGCACATGGAACCAAGAAATTCGTCACAACAGGGATACATGGAAGGCCCAGGCAGCCAAAGGTAGTCACACTGACCTCTTAATATCTTCTTCTCTGAAATAAGTCAGTCTTACAAGGTTCTTTCCAATCTTTGCCTGGGATCCACATTTTCATATACAGATCTAAGACATTGCTTCAACTAGCTTGTGTGTTACCTCTCAGTAGATAACCTTTTTTTCTCACCATAATGTATATAATATAACTTAAAAGGTGATGATATATTAATATTGTATTGTCACCTTGTTTCCTATGGGCGGCTGTGGCTCAGGAGGTAGAGCAGGTCATCACTTTCAAAAGATTGGCAGTTTGATGGCTGGCTCCGCCTGCTGCATGTACAGTAGTGTCCTTGAGCAAGAAACTGAATCGCTAATTGCTCTTGTGCCATCCGTGACTGAATTAGTTTCTCTTACTGATGAGCATGGCTCTGTCATCAGTGTGTGAATGTGACATGTAGAGTAAAGTGCTTTGAGGGAATGGAAGACCATAAATGCACTCAATTGACCAATTCCACTCTGCCAAAGTGGTGGTAAAGAGATATATCAATAAAAACTGAAATTTACTGTTTTCGGATAGAAAACAAATTAAATAAATGTATGTGCAGTTAGTGCAAGTGATTATTGCGGCCTAGCGGTATATGATGGTATTTTCCTTTTTTTTGCATGACTGGGCTTTTTCATAGGTTTTAGTGGATTATTTTTGTATGTATGTATGTATGTTATGTACTGAAAGCTTTGATTACTATATTTTCTTGGCCCCACAAAATGATAATATATGAAGGAAACAGAAGAGTTGCATAATGTAAACTATTATTGTTATTATTATTATTATTATTATTATTATTAATAATAATAATTATTGTGCAAACTGCAAAAACAGTAACTAGTCAAATAAATAAATGAACTAAAATAAAAAAAAAAATAGATATACAACATAATACATATATAATTGTTTTGTTATAAAGTTAGTTGGGCTCCCCTCTCAATACAGCTCTTTTCCCATTAACAATATTATTTTGCTGCTCATAGAGAGTTACAGAATTTAAAAAAATGTTTTGAGTGGTATATGAAAAATCTACATCACACAGGAGATTCAAACCAGTATATTGGTTCATCTGGTAGACCGCCCTTCACTGGCAGGTTGATCAGATAGGTTCAAAAGGTAAATGGTAAATGGACCTGTACTTGCATAGCGCCTTTCTGGTCTTCCGACCTCTCAAATCGCTTTTACACCATATGTCTCATCTCCCTTTCACACACATTCATTTAGTGATGGCAAAGCCCATCAAACACAAACTAACGCATTCATATACAGTACATTCACACACTGATGGGAGCAATTCGGGGTTCAGTATCTTGCTCAAGGAGCCAGAATCGCTTTCCGCAACTTTCCGATGAACGACCCACTCTGCCTCTGAGCCACAGCCACCCTTCAAGATGAGGCAGAATAAGGCATGTCACTTCATGAAATCACTGAGTGGTCAGAACATAAAGGTGACAGCAAGAAAGTTAAATATAGGAATGGACATAGGTTTATCTCTCAGTAGGACAGTACTGTTCCACAATTTCTCTATTTATCTACACTGGACAACATTATATTCATGTGATGGTCACCCCACAGTATGATTTCCCCTTGGGGCACCTGGGCAACCACCATTGATGGCATTTACCCCAAAACACAAGCTTCCCAATCACAGTTATTAGGGTCCTCCATAGCTTCCATAGTAGTTAATACAGATGATAATTACATCTATTAATGTGTGTGTGTGTGTGTGTGTGTGTGTGTGTGTGTGTGTGTGTGTGTGTGTGTGTGTGTGTGCGCTGGTAGACCTGGAGGCAAATGCGAAGACAAAGGCAGAGGAGGGCGGCCAGGGAGAGAAGGAGACAAAAGAGGAGAGAGAGTCAAAGAGACTCAACACAGAACAGGATGAGATGAAAACAGACATGGAGGAACAGGAGGAGGTTGAGAACAGGAGGCAGCAGGAGAAGCGGCAACCTAAAGAGGAGAGAGGAGACAATAATCCAGGAGGGGCTGCAGGCTCCCTACAGGGATCAGGTCTAAATCACACAGACAAGAAGAAGCCTCACGGCCACACAGAGAAGCAGCAGCGGCACTCTTACAATGGTACGCACACATCAACTTTTTCACTTGGAAACAAATTACGCAGTGTAAATATTAACTTTATTAATGTTTTATGGAAGTGCTCTTCTCAGGTATAATTTTAAGGTACTTAACCTTACTTTAAATTCTACTGTACTCCACTACATTTCAGGGACAGATATAGTTACTGTGCAGATTTCACAAGAACTTTTGGTGATAATACTAATGTGGTATTGCTAGTTTTCACAAATACAAAGCTTTTCACCATGCAAAGTTGCCGTTTCAACAAACGATATACACCTGCATCAGTGAGAAATAAACTTAAAGCTGCCGTAGGTAACAGTACATGAGACAGATAATCTGTGAAAAAATCAGGTTCCTCAGGCTCCAGATGGCATTTGCAAGAGTCCAACAGGCCCAAACGAAAACAATCTGAGCTAAGAAAGATGCAAAGACGCTTTGGGGTGGTGGGCTCAATCAATTATGTTTTTGGTTCTGATTGGTTATTTTTGTTGAGGCATGGTGGACTGTTTAAAACACATCAAGTCAAAATGTAATATGTCTCTGATGCTGGTAACACTTTATAATGAGTACACACTATTAAGCATTAGTTAAGCATGAATAAATACTGAATTCATCATTTATAACGCATGAATACACATTAGTATGTAGTTTATAAACACAGTTAAAAATGTTTTATTCATCATTGATAAGCACATTAGTTATGGATTAGTAAATACTGAATTCATCATTTATAAAGCATGTTTCTGCTGTAAATAGTCATTACTATGTGGTTTATAATCACAGTTATAAATGTTTTACTCTTCATTGTACTGTACATTTCTGCATGCACTTGCACATCCACTATTCAGACATGTATTAATGATTAGTGACTGTGTTAGCAGATGTTCTATAAAAACCCACAACAAATTCATTTTCTAATGATGGCCTATAAACAGTTATTAATGCAGGAATTCACAGTTACAAAGCACTTACTACTCGTTAATTAAGTATTTTGCACGAGCTCATCTACAGTGAGCACTATCTATGGCTTATTAAGCATTTACAAATTAGATATAAAGGCTGACAATGCCTCGAGACTCACAAAGTTTTCAGTTTATCTTAACAGACAAAGAAGAGACACAACACAAAGGGATATAGAACATATTGTATTGATATTTATTGCAACTTCCCAACATATTGTATGAAGACGAACAAGGGTGGTTTATGAAGACATGCTATTGTTGTGATCTTATCTGTTTGGGACGTGTACGTTGAGCTCCCGCTCTCCCGTAACAGCACGTCATCACGTTGATGACGTGCTGTTACGTCATATTTACTTTAACTCTCAGAAGTTTCTGACAGTGCAGCCAAGGGGAGCATGGAGAAGCACATTGGAGTCGGCGGCCGTCAGCCGCACTAGTGGTGAGTATGTGTCTTTGTTTGGTAGCACACATTATGGTTGAAAGCTAACGTTAGCTTGTCACTTGACACTAACGACTAAGGTTACTAACGTTACCGACCCGCCCGCGGTGGCTAAGCCAACCTGCCGCTGCTAGGCCCTCACCTCGCCCGGCTAGACGAGACTAGACGCTGATGACGTGCTGAGAGCGGGAGCTCAACGTACACGTCCCAAACAGAGAAGATCACAACAATAGCATGTCTTCGTAAACCACCCTTGTTCGTCTTCCCATATGTTGGGAAGTTGCAATAAATATCAATACAATATGTTCTATATCCCTTTGAGTTGTGTTTCTTCTTCGTCTGTTAAGACAACTGAACATTTTGTGAGTCTCGAGGCATTGCCAGCCTTTATATCTCATTTGTAAATGCTTAATAAGCCATAGATAGTGCTCACTTTAGATGAGCTCACTCAAAATACTTAATTAACGAGTAGTAAGTGCTTTGTAACTGTGAATTCCTGCATTAATCACTGTTTATAGGCCATCATTAGAAAATGAATTTGTTGTGGGTTTTATAGAACATCTGCTAACACAGTCACTAATCATTAATACATGTCTGAATAGTGGATGTGCAAGTGCATGCAGAAATGTACAGTACAATGAAGAGTAAAACATTTATAACTGTGATTATAAACCACATAGTAATGACTATTTACAGCAGAATCATGCTTTATAAATGATGAATTCAGTATTTACTAATCCATAACTAATGTGCTTATCAATGATGAATAAAACATGTTTAACTGTGTTTATAAACTACATACTAATGTGTATTCATGCGTTATAAATGATGAATTCAGTATTTATTCATGCTTAACTAATGCTTAATAGTGTGTACTCATTATAAAGTGTTACCCTGATGCTTCTTGGTTGTATTTACACTGATCAGCCATAACATTATGACCACTGACAGGTAAAGTGAATTACACTGATTATCTGGTTATCATGGCACCTGAAAGTGGGTGGGATATGTAAGGCAACAAGTGAACATTTTGTCCTCAAGTTGATTTAATTCAATTCAATTTTATTTTATTTTATTTGTATAGCGCCAATTTGTAACAGAAGTTATCTCAGGACACTTTTCAAATAGAGCAGGTCTAGACCGAACTCTTTAAAACAGTAATTACAGAGACCCAACAGTACCACCATGAGCAAGCACTTGGCGACAAGGGCAAGGAAAAACTGCCTGTTAAAAGGCAGAAACCTAGGACAGACCCTTCGGCTCTAGGTGGGTGGTCGTCTGCCTCGACCAGTTGGGGTGAAGAGAGAGAGAGAGAGAGAGAGAGAGAGAGAGAGAGAGAGACAGAGAGAAAGAGAGAGAGAGAGAGAGACAGACAGGTGCACAGCAACAACAGTATTGGCAATGGCAATCTATGATGATGAACATGAAGAAGAAGATGTTGACGACGACGACAACAACTTTGGGGGACAATGACTATAGTAATATATACTATACTATAAGCTTTATCAAAGAGGAACGTCTTAAGCCTACTCTTAAATGTGGAGAGGGTGTCTGCCTCCAGAACCACAGCTGGAAGCTGGTTCCACAGGAGAGGAGCTTGGTAACTGAATGCTCTGGCTCCTGTTCTACTTTTGGAGACTATAGGAACCACAAGTAGCCCTGCATTCAGAGAACGTAGTGTTCTAGTGGGGTAATAGGGTACTATGAGCTCTTTAAGATATGAAGGGGCCTGACCATGAAGAGCTTTATAGGTGAGGAGGAGGATTTTAAATTCTATTCTACATTTTACAGGGAGCCAGTGCAGAGAAGCTAGTACAGGAGAGATATGATCTCTTTTCTTAGTTCCTGTCAGTACTTGTGCTGCAGCATTCTGAATTAAATGGAGCATCTTAATGGATTTATTGGGGCAGCCTGATAATAAAGAGTTGCAGTAATCCAGCCTAAAAGTAATAAATACATGGATTAGTTTTTCTGCATCCGTCTATGACAGGATGTGTCTGATTTTTGTAATGTTACATAAATGAAAAAAGGCAGTCCTAGAGGTCTGCTTTATGTGGGAATTAGAGAACATATCCTGATCGAAGATAACTTCAAGATTCCTGACAGTGGTGCTGGAGGCCAAGGTAATACCGTCTAAAATAACTATATCTTTAGACAGTGAGTCTCTGAGGTGAGTGCAGTTACTTTAATGCCAATTAGATGCTCAAGTCTCTGTAATAGGACATGATGGTCAATGGTGTCAAATGTAGCAGTGAGATCTACCAATACAAGTACAGAGACAAGTCCATTGTCTGAAGCAATCATAAGGTCATTATTAACTTTAACCAGAGCTGTCTCTGTGCTGTGATGAACTCTAAATCCTGACTGAAAATCCTCAAATAAGCTATTGCTATGTAGAAAGTCACACAACTCTTTGGCGACTACTTTCTCCAGAATCTTAGAGAGGAAGGGGAGGTTAGAAATGGGTCTATAGTGGGCTAAAACCCCTGGGTCAAGAGTGAGCTTTTTAAGAATGGGTTTAATTAGAGCTGCCTAGGACTGTGGTACATATCCTAAAGAAAGACTGATCATATCCAGTAAAAAAGTGCCAACTAAGGGTAAAACTTCTTTAAGCAGCCTAGTTGGGATCGGGTCTAAAAGACGATGATGATGGCTTCGATGTAGAAATGATTGAAGTTAGTGGATAGTAGAAAAACAGTATAAATATATATCTGATTTTACATTTCTTAAACTTTCTGAACTAGGAGAGACAGGGATACCTGTTGAGGGCATTTGATGATTATTTTTTTCTCTAATAGTAATAATTTAATAAAAAGAAAAGCTCACAAAGTCGATGTGTTAGAATCAGGGCAGCGTAAGGATTTGAACGATTTTGACAAGGGTTACATTGTAATGGCTAGACGACTGGGTTAGAGCACCTCCAACCTTGTGGGGTGTTCCCGGTCTGCAGTGGTCAGAACCTGTCAAAAGTGGCCCAAGAAAGGAAAAATGGTGTACTGTCAAGAGGGTCATGGGTGGCCAAGGCTCGTTGATACATGTGGAGGTGAGCAAAGGATGGCCTGTGTGGTCTGATCCAACAGACGAGCTGCTGTAGCTCAAATTGCTGAAAAAGTTAATGCTGGTTCTGCATATGGGGGTGCATAACATTATGACGACCAGAGTGCCCAGATGGTTATAATGTTATGGCTGTTCGGTGTATGACTACTTCTTTTCAAATCAGACAGCAATGTGATGCAGCCAATGGATGAGGTGTAAATGGCATATAAGATTTGGTTGATTTTTAGAAAGCCACACAATTTACAAAAAGTTGTCGAAGAAAGACTTGATAGTAAACGTCTCATATCTCAAAGACTAGAATCTGATTTCATGCTAACTTAGATTCTGCTGTCTCTACAGACCTTCAGCCTGACTGCCCCCTGATCCATTACTGCAAGAGACCCAGCTACTGTGCCAGCTCCTATCGGCTTGTCAGGTCAAAGGTCACTGAGATGCGACCTATTGATGCCAGGGGAAAAGCCAGGAGACTGCAGTGCATCTCCCTGCGTCGCCAAAAGTGATGAGGTGTAGAGTGTGACATCAGTGTGATGTCACATCAGAACATACTACTATAATAATCAGTCTGTGTTTATATTCGCATATTGCAGTATTTAATCGTATCTTTTGTTTCATTTTAATCTGGTATGGATCACGCTGCTGCCTCAACACTGTCTCCATGTGATATGTCTCCCCTTTGCCACTGCTAACGGCTCCTTTATCTGGACTTATCACTTCTTTTAAATCTCCTCGAAATAGTTTATATGCTTTTACTTAGTTTTGTCATCTGTAATTTTACAATGTCGGATGTTGATATTCAATGAGGCCTAAGTGTCAAAAAATTAGGTAAACGTGTGTAAAAGTAATCCCTGTGAGAAAATGGTAAAATGGACTGTACTTATATAGCACCTTTCTAGTCTTTCGACCACTCAATGCGCTGTACATTACATGCCACACTTACCACCATATTAAAGTGGCCAACTTTACAGCAGAAATAAACATGTTTACAGCCTGGTACAAAAAAAATTCTTTGGTGTATAAAGCTCATTTCCCCATTTACGACAACTGTATGGGGAGTTCATTTTTATATAACTCATTGGTGAACTGCAGGTGCACTCTGATGTTATAGTGAAATGTCAGTGGCAGTTTATGAGCTGAGTAAAAAATAAATACAAGGTTAAGTTGTTGAGTATTATTCAGTCTTTTATGTTCAGGTTTTATGTTTGATGTTCTCCGTCACAAAGCACTAGTTTTATTTGTTTGAGGATACTGTGCTGCCAAATGGTGGTTTACAGATCAAACAGAGTAACACATTACCTACAAGTTGCATTTATTCTTAATATATTTCTTATATGATTTGATTGTGAGATATAGTACAGTTAGGACCTAAATAGTGTTTGCTTGTTGTCATCATATAAATGGCGCCACCAAACTATTATTTATTTGCTCATCATCATTTTATTAATTAACTGTTCCCCACAACATCTGCCTCTGGCTGCGGATTTGTGGTGCTGTGTGTTCACATCCTCTCACTCTGCACCATCTAGCCAGCAATACGATTACCAGGAGAAGCTGTTTCTTTATTTGTTGAGTTGTTGTCACAATGTTGCTCTGTGGCTACCTTAATATTCCACCCATATGTGATACTCAGGGTTAATAAATAATATATTTAAGTAATGATATTTAATTTATTATTATTTGCTCCCATCAGCCACAAGAGTATTAGTGAGTCCCAGCAGTGATGTGGGTGATAATGTCTGGATCACAGTCAGTGTTCCAGTTCATCCCAAAGCTGTTGGACGAGGTGGAGGTCAGTTCATCCACACCACACAGAGAAAACCATTTATTTACTGTCTAAAATACAACTGTATGCTGCATGTTGAAGTATCCTTGAGCAAGATACTGAACCCTAAATTGCTCCCAATGCTGTGCATCAGTGTATACATTTGTATGAATGAGTATTAGTTTCTGTTTGTATGTATGTGTTTGAATGGGTGGATGTGGCATGTAGTGTAAAGCGCTTTGAGTGGTCAGAAGACTAGAAAGGCGCACAAAATCCCTACTTACTGTAACACTTCTCTCCACAAGAGAAATCCCTGTCATAATACCCACTTTTGAGACTTGGTGACTGACGGGTGTGTGTGGCCAGTGAACTACCTTACCGTTGAGCTTTATCAATGTCAAAAACATTAATTCTGCTTTATATTTTCCTTTGCAGGGATGTGAGTAAAAAAGGAGCAAGGAGACATTGTAAAAATTACATGTTAGGTCAAAACAACATTTAATGAGACTGAACATAAAAACAGTTGACAACAAAATCAAATTTAAATAAAGGCTTTAATCCTTTACATCATTTTCCTCATCTTCTAAGTGGACCATCTGCTTCTCCGCTTTCAGCAGTCTCACTCCTAAAGAGTAGGAAAACACAGGTTGTCAGCTCACAATTTTCCTGTACTGTGAGGAATTATTAGCAAATTTTTGACTGTGATAAACTGTCAGTTTGTTTCCAACCTGTTTGATCGTCTGAAGTGATGTTGTCAAGTTCACAAGTATCAATCTATCAATTACCTTGATCAGTATGTTATCATAACTGGCAGGTTAAGGTTAGGTCATCATAACATCACATGTTACAGCTGCAGGGAACACTACATTAGTGAAGTGTTATTATGGATCCCACTGCTTTTCATTGCAAGACACACCCTGCAGCACATTCCAGTTCTAATGTGGTTATTGTTGTCAAAACATCTATTTTTTCACAAACCTAACTACCGGTACCTAACCAAGTGTTTAGAAAGTGCAAATGAAAACTCAAGGTAATTTTAAAAGAAACAAAAACTAAAAGTCATGTAAATCTAAGTCTGCCTCACAGGGGAGATACAGACAACATCAGCTATCTGTGAAAACCAGACCAAAACAACTCCTAGCATCTACTAGCAAGAGGTCAAAGGTCATGGGCCAGGAGTCAGTGGTTGGCCTGAGAAAGAGGACATTGACAGATTTCTCCGCTCATATACTACCATCAGTTATTCAATTAAATTTAATTCAATTAAATTTTATTTGTATAGCGCCAATTCATAACAGAAGTTATCTCAGGACACTTTTCAAATAGATCAGGTCTAGACCGAACTCCTTATAACATTTACAGAGACCCAACAGTACCACCATGAGCAAGCACTTAGCGACGGGGGCAAGGAAAAACTTCTTTTAAGAGGCAGAAACCTAGGACAGATCCTTCGGCACTAGGTGGGTGGTCATCTGCTTTGACCAAGTTATCAAGTGACCAAAGTTCCATCAAAAGTCACATGATGCTGATGATGACCATAGGATGTGGTTGAAAGCCCCAGAAAAAGCTAGTGAGTGAGCAGTGACTTAAAATAATTTTAACATAACATAAACATGGATACGTTTAAGTTCAAGTTCATCAATGAAGAAAATCATTGTTAATATATGTGGGATTAGGGTGATTTTTTGGTTCAGTGGTTGGAGTTAGGGTGAGGGTTATGGTTAAGCAAGTAGTGGTTAGGTAGTGAATAGGGTGTCCAGGAAATGAATGTTAGTCTTGTGTGTGTGTGTGTGTGTGTGTGTGTGTGTGTGTGTGTGTGTGTGCGCTGACCTGGTATATGTGGAGGAGAGTTGAGGACGGGTGTGTCTTTTCTGCGAGGTTTCTTAAACTGTTTTTCCTCCTGATTCTCTGCACAGCAAGCCTCCTCCTCCTCCTCTTCATCATCCTTCATCTCTGACTTCCTGTCCACCAGGCTCTCCAGCACCTCCTGGTCTGTCAGACAAACTAATACATTGTCAAACAACTTCAGCATACCTGTCTCCGTAGAAAAGACCTTAGGTGACAGCTCTGCATTTGGTTTTCTGTAATTCTATTCTATTATTTGCATTTCTAGTTCTAAAAAAAGGAAATGTATTGGTGTCAGAAGCATCTTCTAAAAAACTGGTTTCAGGCTTTCCACCATATGCTGGGACGTGGCTGCAAGGATTTACTCCCATCAGCCACATTGGTGAGTCCCAGCATTGATGTTGGGTGATAAGGTCTGACTCACAGTCAGTGTTCCAGTTCATCCCAAAACTGTTGAATTAGGTTGAGGTCAGGGCTCTGCAGACCAGTTAGACCGGTTGGTCTTCCACACACTAAACTGGGAAAACAATTCCTTTATGGAGGTGGCTTTGTGTTATCATGTTGAAACAACAAAGGGCCAAACATAAAATTGAAAGAAGCTGCAGAGCTCCAATCAGTTATTTTTATTTCCAAGAAAGGCAGAATTTATTGCTGGGGGGAAAAAAATATTTGCCTACTTTTGGAGCATTGCTCATCACATAAGATCTTTACTGTAAACAGACGGATGGGGACAAAATCCAATCAATTGACAAACTGACTACAATTATTTTTCCATTGAAAATTGTGGAGAAATTATTTTATTGATATTGATTCATTTTTCATTTGTGCCATTTTGTAAGATTTTTCTTTATCTGAAACACAGTGTAAGTGGCTTTGGGATCAAAACATATTATTAATATTATTAATAAAAATGGACAGAGCTCTGTGCTTACAGTGTGTGCTCTCCTGTGTCATCCGTCGATGTTCAGGCTCCAGGGTCGACCTCACACAGCCAGTCGTCATCTCTGAGACCCTCTGGGCTTTCTACACAGATCACATAATATGCACACACACACAGAAACACACACACACAGCCTGAAGTGCTTTATCCTTTGTTAATGTCCAAGGGTTCACTTATGAATAATGAATTGTAAATGTACATGTACGTGTGTGTGTGTGTGTGTGTGTATGTGTGTGTGTGTGTGTGTATGTGTGAGATGGAGAGAGAGAGAGAGACTGCCTCACTGACACGTCTGCTTCACCTTTAGACAAAACTGCATTAACACAAGCTTTGATCAAAGCACCACATTCAAACAGCAGTCCCACACTTTAGTTATACTGATTTGTTACTAATCATGACTGACAGGTAGCATGACACATATAAGAGAAACTGAAGGAAACCAGAAGAACTACAGATAAAAGTGAAATTTGGCAGAAATTAAATAAGAGAGAAGCAAAGAAAATTATATGAATCAGAATCTTTGATCAGATTCAGAATCAGATTTATTGCCAGGTAGGTTTTTACACATACGAGGAATTTGTCTTGGTGCAATGGTGCTTAAAATATACAATCACACAAAAATATAAAATCACACAAAAATATACAAATCACACAAGAATAAAGTACTTTTAAAAATATAAATAAATAAAGATAAGAAAGATAAGAAAAGATAGGAAGACTGTACAGAAGATGGGAGTGCATTAATGTAATGTAATGCATATATATAGGGTGGGTATAAATATAAATATAAGTAAGTAAGTAAATAAATCATAAGCATGTCAGCTAAAAGAGTAAAAGTGAAAATAAAACTGACCAAAACCAAGCACCCGAGATAAATAAAGAATCAAAGTGTGTTCTTACCTCAATCTCAGTAGTGTGACACAGACTGAAGCAGTCTGACTCTGGCTTATGAAGCTCAGAGGAGAAGCATCCTTTCTCCTCTGCATCCATTATCTATCATTGACCACCCACTTTCCCCTCCCCCTCCCACAGAAGAGCTGCAGAAGCTAGAATTACAGTTTTGACTGAGAGAGAGGGGTTATTTATATATATGGTTATTTAACTCTTTCTGTCTCTCTCTTTCTTTAGAATATTATTGTGTGGAATTCCCTTTTGTTTGGATGTTTTACTTATTTCATTTAATAATGGCTATTTTTACATAGCTCAAATCTGAAAGGAGAATAATTAAATTATGAAGACCTCCATTTAGTCTAGGGGTTTCTCCCTTGGATGCCCCAAACTGAAACTTAATGATGGGCCACGGGCCAAAAGCAAACACCTATTGATAAGATGCAAAATAGTCCTGCATATTAAGATCCCAAGTTCCTTCAATTCACTGACTTCCTGCTCAATTGTCACTCTGCCTGTCATGCTCTGATCATGATATATATATATCATCAATATTTACCTCTCAAAAAATGAAACTGCATAAACAGTGACTTATATCTAAAAAACCTTATGGCCAGTGTTCGGCAAGTTACTTTTAGTCACAGTTACTTCTTCCAAAAAGTAACTAAATTAGTAACTCAGTTACAAATTATAAAAGTAACTAGTTACTTCAGAAAGTAACTATTGCATTACTTTCAAGTAAATCTTTAAATGCTCAAATGTGACCCACCTCCACCCCTCTTTAACGGAACTCAAAATACACGTGCATGTTCAATTATTTATGATAAATCTGAATATTATAATGAGATGGACACTTAATACAATCCATTATTAACAGAAACAATGTTCCCAAATCTAAACTATTTTAATGTTGCTGTGGGACAAAGTGAGACTAGCCTCCAATCAAATACCATGTATGTAGATATTATGTTTATATAGTGGATCGATACAAATAACACAATAGATGTTTCGGAACTTTTGATATTTATTGCCCCTCAACAGGCCACAACTGGGCAAAATTAAATTATGCTTGTTAAGCACTATACCAAAAATAAAAACAAATATATACACTCTTTGTAGTGCAAATAAAACAAAAGAAACCTTCAGATTTACACTAGATTTTCAGTGTAACAGTTTAACAACATGAGGTGCTTTCAATCTAACTGAAAAGTACAATGTATATCCATAAAATATCGAATCCAAACACAAACAGGTAATACATAAAAAATAAAAATACATCTCCATAAAAATAAATCTCTTTGCCCAGGGCATAATGTTCATTTCACGATTACATTTGTTCCTTTAATTTCTTGGAGGGAAAAGTAATGGCTATACTTCCATTTAAAGAAGGCTACTTTTGGATTATTTGGGCTTGCCATACCTGTCTCTCGTTGACTGACTCGCTTGCGTTGTTCGTTGTGTGTCCGACTGCGTGCTTTCGAACACCCACCAAACTCTACCTCTGATTGGCTTACCATGAAATTTTACTCAACCTCAGCCAATTGTCAGCATTTATGTGCTTTTCTCGTGCACTGCCCACTAACCAAGGAAGAACAGTAAAAAAAAGTATTTGCCTCATGGCTCAGAGATCTAGTTGGTCTGATGAAAAAAACAGCTTCAATTATAGTAACGCGGCACATTTTTTGGCAGTAAAGGTAACGGCGTTATTAAGATGGGAAGAGTAATCAATTAGATTACTCGTTACTGAAAAAAGTAACGCCGTTATTTATAACGCCGTTATTCCCATCACTGCTTATGGCAAGCCAATGCGTATACCACACTTTGGACAGCCCTGATTCAGTTAGTATCCCCACAGTGCTACATAACAGGAGAGAAAAATAACCTGTTTTTTGGGGGCCTTCTGCAGTCTACTCAGTGGTTAGATTGTAGAGATCTTTGTCTCTGTCTGCCCTTTCCGTTTCAGTCCAGTTGAACCATTGTACAGTTTACTACAGATACTATTACTATAATCACTGCTCATTGTCCCCCATCGTTGTTGTCGTCGTCGTCGTCTTCTTCATGTTCATCATCATCAGTCACTGCTATTAGAGTAGTTGTTGCTACTGTTATTGCTGTGTCTCTGTCCTTGTGTCTCTCTCTCTGTTCTCTGTCTCTCTGTGTCTCTCTCTGTCTCTCTATCTCTCGCCCCAACTGGTCGAGGCAGACGACCACCCATCTAGAGCCGGGGTCTGTCCGAGGTTTCTGCCTCTTAAAAGGAAGTTTTTCCTTGCCATCGCTGCCAAGTGATTGCTCATGGTGGTACTGTTGGGTCTCTGTAAATATGTTATAAGGAGTTCGGTCTAGACCTGCTCTATTTGAAAAGTGTCCTGTGATAACTTCTGTTATGAATTGGTACTATACAAATAAAATTGAATTGACTTGACTTGACTTGAATTGTTTCCTACAAATAAAACACTTGTGATGCTGCCAATCAAACTAAAGCCTTTTGAAGTCTTGATGAGGGATCGTACTCTGCCAATTGGCATATCCTCCAAGTGTGCACAGTACTTTGTTGGAACTATTGTTCCAAACCTCCTCTGCAGCACAACAACCTTGGTGTGTTTTTAAACAATAAAGAGAACGGAGAACACATGGAACATAAACAGCAAAAACGTTTCACTGTTCTATGGTCTATTTTGATGATGTTATTCATATGAACCATTGTGTATTCACTAAGCAGAGTTCTGTGCATAAAAACATCTTCATTAAATAACTCATATTTATATTAACATATTTTACCTTGTAAATATGCATTTTAATCATTTAAAAACAGCCTAACCTATGTTGTTACAATTGCCTTTGTTTAAGGTCTTGTTTTCCATCCATAAAGTGTTGTTTGAGAAAAAAAGTCACTCAAAAGTTTGCATGCAGCTTGTAGTGGTTCTAGTATCAGCCTTGGTCAAAATGTGATGAATAGCTTAAGCTGTAAATCTGATAAAATAAGGCATATCCTTTAGTGAACAGAAGACTTCAGGCTCTCATCAGTCAGATGCAGTCTCCTTCAACGTCACGACACCTAAAACACAAGATGATATAAAAGTTGTGAAAGAAGCACAGATCCAAATCATAACGCACAATAATGCAAAACATTTGCATATTTATATATTATATACAGTCATGCCCGAAATTATTCATACCCCTGGCAAATTTTGACTTAAAGTTAGTTTTAGTTTTTTCTTGATTGGAAATGACACAGGCGTCTCCCAGACAATAATAAGACGATGTACAAGAGGCATCATTGTGGAAATAATTATTCCTCAGCTTTTATTTACATTTGAACAAAAAGTGGCATGTCCAAAATTATTTATACCTTTCTCAATGATCAATAAAAAAGCCTTTATTGGCTGTTACAGCAATCAAACGCTTCCTATAATTGCTGACCAGCTTTTTGCCACCCTCCACAGATCCTCAGTTGGATTCAAGTCAGGACTCTGGCTGGGCCACTGCAAAACGTTAATGTTTTTGTCGCTTACCATTTCTTCCCCACTTTTGCTGTGTGTTTTGGGTCGTTGTCGTGCTGAAATGTCCACTGGTGCACAAGGCCAAGTTTCCCTGCAGACTGCCTGATGTTGTTGTTGAGAATCTAGATGTATTCCTGTTTTTTCATGGTGCCGTTTACTGTGATTAGGTTCCCTGGTCCATTGGCTGAAAAACATCCCCAAAGCATTAGGTTCCCACCACCATGTTTGACAGTGGGGATGGTGTTCTTAGGGTTGAAGGCTTCTCCTTTTTTACACCAAATGAAGGATACATCATTGTGGCCAAAGTATTCGATTTTTGTTTCATCTGACCATAAAACAGAAGACCAGAAGTCTTCTTCTTTGTCCAGATGAACATTGGCAAAGGCCAAGCAGGCTTTTGTGTGCCTTATCTGGAGAAGTGGCATCCTCCTTGGACTGCGTCCGTGGAACCCAGCAGTGTGCAGTGTCTGTTGGACTGTCTGCCTTGAGACGTTGCCACCTGCAGAGCCCAGATTCACCAGGATGGCCTTTGTGGTGATCCTTGGATTCTTTTTCACCTCTCTCACTATCCTCCTGGCCAGCACAGGTGTCACTTTTGGCTTCGGACCACATCCTCTGAGATTTCCCACAGTGCGGAACGCCTTCTCTATTTTTTAATAATACTTTGCACTGTAGACACTGGAACTTGAAAACATTTAGATATGGCTTTATAGCCCTTTCCTGACTTGTGAGCAGCCACAATGCGCAGCCGGAGGTCCTCAGTGACCTCCTTTGTCTTAGCCATGACTGTCCACAAACCAACTGCAGAGAGCTGCTGTTTTTCACCTGTTGAGTTGAATAAAACAGCTGTTCCAAATGAATCAGGGTAATTAGGATGCTTTAGAACAGCTTAGACTATTTGGAATGGTATAGAACTTTGGATTTTCCCATAGACTGTGGCAGTTTGCAAAGGGTATGAATAATTTTGGACATGCCACTTTTTGTTCAAATGTAAATAAAAGCTGAGAAATATTATTTTCGACAATGATGCCTCTTGTACATCGTCTTATTATCTTCTGGGAGACGCCTGTGTCATTACCAATCAATAAAAAACTTGCTGGTTGCATAAAAGTAACTTTAAGTCAAAATTTGCCAGGGGTATGAATAATTTTGGGCTTGACTGTATAAAGCGCCTTTCAATGCACTTTACACTACATGCAACACACATTCACACACTAATGGCAGTAGCTGCCATGCCAACTAATCAGAAAGGACACTAATACTTCATACATACGCCAATGCACAGCATCGGGAGCAACTGTGGTTTGGTGTTGCTCAAGGACACTTTGCCATATAGAAAGGAGACAAGGATCGAACCACCAACCTTCCAATTAGCAGACGACCCGCTCTACCTCTGAGCCACAGCTGCCTATACAACATGGCTATATGATATATAGCTGTGAACCCTGAGAGAGTGCAGTTGGAGTTAATTGTAGTGCGCTTATGGGCCACAAGGACTGTAGAATACTACCAATAGGGTTACATTAGTAACACTGGCAATTGCTATTGAGTTGTCTGATGGTGTGAACTAGGTTCACGGTTTCAAAAACTGTTCCAGTCTTAGTTAGGTTACCGATTTCAACATTTGCCAGGCCAAGTCCAGTGTGTAACATTCAGGATTATCCATTGTCAGAAATGGAATCTAATATTCATTGGTATGTTTTCATTAGTGTATAATCACCTGAATACAGGAATTGGGTTTTCATCCAATTTTCATGCCATTTTTATCTACAGATGCCACAGGTTGCCTTCCATGTAGTCCGCCATGTTGAACCACCATGTTTCTAAATGCTACACACTGGTCCTTTAATATGTTTTAAGTTAGGTTAAAATGTAAAGCCTTTTGTCGTGACCTTTCTTCGTGGAAAAATATATGAAACTTTGAATCAAGAGTGAACAGTTCATCAATGATTACATGACTGATGTCACAAACCTGGAGTCAAAAATGGCTGATAAGAGAACTCACTTTTTATTCCAACGAGTCAGTGTTCACAGACTGACGCAAGGACTCCTTCAACTGGAAAACAGGACACACAACATTCAGCTTTTAGAAAGTTACTTCAGATATATTACATCCCATGTCATGAAAAATTATATTTATTATTATTTATTCATATAAATCATTATTATCATATTATTATACAAGCTGCCTCTAGTGGTATGTGGAGGAATAATAAATTAATTTAAAAACCTATTATATTATCAAAATACTACAAAATTTTAAATGAAAATACTTAAACTACGAGACCACTGTTTGGCATAGCTCTTGTGCTTCATTACATAAAGACTTAATTACATAAAGAATGGTAACTTTGTCTGCTTGCATTTTAATTGATATTAATATAAGAATTAGCAACAAATTATGAATACATACAATGACAGGGGTATGTAATTTTAAACTCATCAAGTCAAATCTCTTACAATAAAATATAGGTTGTAGAATGCTGAAACTTTCGTTAATTTAGCTGTAAAATGGAGGTTAATTCAAAGCCAATTGAAATTATATATTTATTAAATATATTCTGTTAATCTTACTGTACTTATAGTGGATTGTAAATGCAAATGGGGTTACTGTCTATATTTATTGTGTTATGTTAATTTATTAGACATACAGCTGCCCTAAACACCTGAGACATTTATTTTTGGTCATATAAGTAATTTATTGGCTGAGAGGCCCTCGTATGACCCCTGAAGAGTACTGTATCAGGATTATTTCATACATTTTAAGATCTCCAGAAATGTGAATTCAGTTTATAAATACAACTGCCCAACTATATTGTTCTGAAGTCTTACTTGTTTCCCTACAAATCATAATGTGATTTTCTTACTCTCTGGAGGAAGCCCACTATGTCCAGCTTGTCTGCCTTTGCGGGAGAACAGCCAAGGCCCTCACAGATGCTCTCTGATCCAGGAGGGGACTGTCTGGGGGAGTCCACATTGCAGGTGATGTGGCCACTCTGCACTTCAGTCAGAGAGATCCAGGGCAGCAGACTGCACTGAGTGGCCACTGTCCTGTTGGGGGCGGGGCTCAATGATGTGGGTGCCGCACCAGGTAGAAAGACTCTTAGTTGAGAGCAGAGCAGAGACTGCTCATCCAACAGTCTGTGCATCTTCTACTCAAACACAAAGAATTATAATTAGAAAACACACGAAAAGTAAAAGTATTATTATATATATATATACCCAGCCAGTCTTTAATTCTCCATGCCACTCTCTGATCACCCCATTAATATTCTATAAATCCAACACTGATCACATTGGGCTGTACCCAATCCCAGATGACATTAGGAGAGAGTCAGACAGAGCTATTTAGAATCGGCAATCAACCTAACCTGTATGTCCACTAAACCAGTGTGTGTCATTGAAGCAGAGAGGGAGATGATATTGTACCTGTGGGCTGGTGCCTATGGCCAAATCACAGCCATGCTGATATTCGGTGCAACATCACAACCTTCAATATGATATTACAAAGTGCCCTATATTAGTTAACAGTAATAAGTGACAGATTATTATTTGTTTGATTATTTATCATTTATTTTGTTCTGCCAACACAAATAGTTCTTCATTTTCAATATTTTCCAGATCATTAGCTTGCTTGCTACTTTGTGTAGGTCTATAAGTTACTGTAGTTACTTTGTATCATGTACAATTATCTGTATGTTTTCATTTATTGTGCAGCCAGTGAAATAACCAAGTCCGAAACCGGAGAAATGCTACTAAAAAACAAAAAATGACGCATCCTCCCCACCATAGTTACACTGTCATTCGGTTGGAAACACAGTCTCTTTCTGTTGGGTATTCAGTCTCTTTTCACACATCTTTCCTGTAGGGACTACTCTACCAGTAGACAGGTATGAGTGTGTTGGTGTGACTGAGTGTGTTACCATTTTCAGGCTGTCATCGTAGTGATGGGCTAGGTCATTCAACTGCATCTCCAGCTCTGCAACCTCCTGTTTCACTGCTCGCCTCAGCTCCTCTATGTCCCGAACCTTCTCCCTACACACACAGAGGGAGAGACACAAACACACACGGACGCACATGCGCACACGCACACACACACACACACACACACACACAAACACATTTACTGTTCATTAAATATTTTTCTTATAGCAAATTCACTTCAACAGAATGATTATGACAGCAGATGTCCACAAGGACACGCACTGTGGCTCAGAGGCAGAGCGGATTGTCCCCTAATCGGAAGATTCTTGGTTCGATCCCCGGCTCCTTCCGCCACTTGTCGAAGTATCTTTACTGAACCCCGAATTGCTCCCGATGCTGTGCATCGGTATGAATGCGTAAGTTTCTGTTCGATGGGCTTATCCATCACTGAGTGAATTTGTGTGAAAGGTAGGGTAAAAGCGCTTTGAGTGGTTGGAAGACTAGAAAGGCGCTATACAAGTACAGATCCATTTACCATTCGCCATTACCATAGCCCTACTCTGTGACAGAGACTCCACATCAGCAGACCAAATAATTGTCTTGCTGGCAATTAATAGCATTAATGTTGGTTGATTGAGGAAATTAAGCGAGTTTGAATTGATCCATGGCACAGTTGTTTTTTTTTATGTGATCAATCGCAGTTTGTACATGTTAATATGGTCTAGACCTGCTCTGTATGAAAAGTGTGACGTCCATTATGATTTGGGGCTATACAAATAAAATTGAATTGAATTGAAAAGAGAGCTTTATAAACTTCTGTACCTGTCCTGGTCAGAGAGAGCACTGTAAACTGCAGCCTGGTCTTCAGATAGCTGCTCCTCCATGTTGTTGAGCACAGAGCAAAACTGCTGCAGACACAGCATCATCTCCTCCAACTCATCCAGAGAGTACTGTGGAGAAGAACAAGCATTACCTTTCAATATAATAAAAAATATAGTCCAGAAATACAAAAACAAAACATGATCAAGCTTGAGACTGTGATGAATTGTATAACCGTTCAAGAACTATCAGTAACACTGGATGAATTTTTAAGTCATTGCATTATTTTTGATAGGTAGCAGTTTACACAACTGAGGAGGCATCATTGAAACATTTCAATACAAGCTATTCTCTTTTTTGTATTTCAATATAAATTCGCCATCATTTATGGATGTTAATGAATTACACTGAATTAAATAGAGCAAACACAAGAATAGCGAGGAGAAGACAGAATGAAGAGAGAGCTCCACAGGCTCCACATGTAAATGAGACATTTATATGTTAATATAATCCTGGTTTTGAAAGGCCTCCATCTCAAGAACTATGGTAACATGACAACAAATATACTATTTATATGAAAGGGCAATCGTGACTCTTTAGAAGATGGACACATCATAGTTCACTCCTGTTTAATACGAGAGTATAGGAGAGGAGAGTGCACAGGAGCTCCTCTACTGCAGGTGCCAAGTTACAGCTACTGAGAAGAAAGATAAGCACCACATGTCTTTTGACCACCAGGTCCATTTACCATTTACCATTCTAGCATTGGTGAATACAAAAAAATCCATATCAACATTCAGAAGAAACTAAATTAAGCGACAAGGGAGAGCTGAAATAAAATATGGTCAGGAGATAAAGACAGTCTACTGCTCTCCCAAAAAAGTCTAACAAGCTGAAGGCTACAGAGACGGCCTGATATTCTAATGAGCTCCCTTCCTTTTCTCTGTGTTGAATTTGAATATAGAAGTTGTTCTCATTTATTTATTGATTTAATTTATTAGGATTTTAGCTGTCTGCTGATCAAATCTACACTTTATGATATAAAAATTTTACATTTTTAATATAAATTGTCCATTTAGATTGAGTGGTTACAGAAGTGTTGTCTTCATAACTTTACATTAATAGTTCAGTGACTTGTGGCACATATTAACCATGTTTCACTAAATATCTGTAACCCTGTGTGTAACACGTGTTGATTTCTTATCCAGAACAGCCCCTGTGTGATTTACAATACAAAAGACATTTCACAATCTGCTTTGGGACTCCTTACTGCATATATGCAGTAGTGATGAGAGAGGGCCTTTGCGATCCCTGGTGGAAGAAAAGAGAACAGCAGAGAACGGTTGGATTTTATGAGGCTGGGGAACATTGTTCTTGCAATCCTGTGTAAGAGCTACAACCAAACCATGAAAAAGTTGCACACTTTTAAGTGCTACCACTGTAATTGTTTGCGCGTTTCTGTTGTCATGTTCCTATTGTCATAACATTTGGTTGGGCTTTTAAATACAGTATTGACCACTTTACAAAATACGACAAAATTGCAGGTAAATTACAGCAACTGTGCTGTCAGATCAACTCTTCTGATATTTAAAATGAGTGACCAGAGATTAGAAGCAACAAAGGGTTGTCATATTCAAGTACAGCCAAAAAGCATATATTGCCACAATTAAAATGTTTAATTCATATAACCATTTGTTTAAATGTGCTACAAGGAGCTTTTAACTGATTATCAAACAGTCTCAATGTCTCTATTTGACCTATAAACAATATATATAATATCGGTCAGCCGAGATTATTGGCCAATATTAGCTTCTTGCACAATTGTATTGTATCTTTATCAGTGTATATGTAATCTGATATGTGCTGATGAAAACTTTTTTTTTTTTTTTTTATGCAGAAACAAATACTAATATATTGGTGTCACTGCAAAATGTATCCAACATAGTGGACTGTGAATTACAATACTGGTAAGCAGCACAGAGTAAAACAGAAGAAGCAGCTCTTAGCAATGTGAAAATGGTAAATGGACTGCACTTATACAGGGCCTTTCTAGTTTTCTGACCACTTTTCACTAAATGGACCTGTACTTGTATAGCGCCTTTCTTGTCTTCCGACCACTCAAAGCACTTTTACACTATATGGCACATTCACCCTTTCACGCACATTCACTCAGTGATGGCAAAGTCCATCGAACAGAAACTAACATTCATACACATTCACACAACGATGCACGGCATCAGGAGCAATTTGGGGTTCAGTATCTTGCTCAAGGATACTTCAACACATGGCACCAGGAGCCGGGGATCGAACCAACAACCTTCCGATTAGGGGACAACCCGCTCTGTCTCTGCGTCACAGCCGCACTACATGTCACATTTACCTATTCCAAACATACTGATGGCAGAGGCTGCAATGCAAGCCAATTGCTTGTCAGAAACTAACTAACACATTCACAAACACACACTGATGGCACAACATTTTGGATTCAGTGTCTCCCAAGGTCTCTTCAAGATGCAGCCGGAGGAACTGAGAATCAAACTGTCCACCTCCTGATTAGTGGACGACCCACTATACCTCCTCTGCCATTGAACTATAATGAATTGACAATGTACATGTCAAATTATCTTAGAAATAATTCTACTTATATTAAATATTATTTTAAGTTATTGATTTGAGTATTATATTGGTGTACAAGCCACACAGAAAAGGTCTATTTTATCTTAAGTCCATTCACTATATCCGGCGACATAAAATCAGTGTGAAATCATTATCAGATCAAAACCCCATACAGAGGTTCTATTCTATAGAGTTATTCATAATGCCTGCCACTAGGTTGGAATTGGTCGGATTCCCCTTGAAATCAATGAAATGCAGTGGTGGAAACACTGCTGCTTTTGTCCACAGGATCCATTAGAATCAATGCAAAATGAAAGTTCCTTGTTCCTAAGTAAAAATGAAAATTACCATTTGAGAAACATACTTAAGTAAAAGTAAAAAAACTACTGGATTAATAAATTAGTCTAAATACATGTTACTTTTAACATTTTGGTATAAAAAGTTGTAGCCAGGGATTGTCACTGGAAGCTGCCTCTTGTTCTGGGCTTTGCTCTGTCATCATTACATGGTGGTCAAAAGACATGTGGTGCTTATCTTTCTTCTCAGTAGCTGTAACTTGGCACCTGCAGTAGAGGAGCTCCTGTGCACTCTCCTCTCCTATACTCTCGTAGCAAAGTAACGTAGATTACTGGCTCAGAAATGTACTCCAGTAGACTAGAAGTACAGTTTTTAAAAAAGAAAAGAATGAAAAAGAGCGTGTTCATTAAATAAACTACTTTTTTAATTGTGTGTTATTTGTACCATGTTACTACCCATCCCTGCAAATGTGTAGCTAATAGATGTAACTCCAATTAAAAGGTTTTCATCTGACATTGACATCCAACAGACCTGTGACTGGTGACACACTGGCTATTAATGTGAATGCATTTGGTTGAATATGAATGGTTGGTTGAAATGGAATAAGAACAGCATGGTATTACTCACAGGAATGTTTCCCAAAAGGTATCGCTTTTCATAACTCTTCTGAGTACAGCAGTGACACTGATGGTCACAGGAGCATTGGTATTCCATGGTGGCTGTCTGGTTGCCCTCCCAAAGCTTCCCCTCATCTTCATTTCCATTCCTGTCCACTTCTTCCTCCTCATCTGACCACTGCCCTTTATCGGCAGAGACTGACACAGTACGGTTGCTTCTAGCCACCACAGGATGACAGTCCTGTGGCTGCCGGTCATTACACAGCAGAGGGAAAACTGGAGATGAAGAGAAGACCACTGTAGGTCTATGCATTGTTTCTAAGGCACTCATGGATACAGACACCTGGCTTGGGACTGCATTAAAAGCCTCGTATGATAGCTTCTTGGTGAGAGTGTTTCGTTGAATCTGTAGGTCTGTCCATGACTGGACAGCACGAAAGGGTGTGGAAGTGTCCAAAGGGAGAACACTAGGGAGAAGGGTGTGTTTTGAGTCAGTCACATACGGAATATCCTTCCTGTGGATAATATGAGAAGATGGAGATGAAGACATCTGGACAGAAACAGAGCAGATTGATGGTTTGACGTCTGGGGTTGCAGATGGGGATGGAAAGGTGGTTAGAGTCAAGGGGGAGGGTGTATCTGATGAGGCGGTTGCATTTCTAGAGGTCTGGTCAGTATTTATTGATGCTAAGGATGAAGATGAGGGGATAGCTTGGCCCATGGATGAAAATGAATCTAGAGCAGCTGGGACTCTAGGCAAGAGAGAATTCCCATGAGATCCATCTGAGGCTTCAAAGCTGCCTGACTCCACCGGAGTTGCACTGGAAACCTGGATGGGTTCTGCCCAATAGGCTCGCCCTTCAGTATCAAGTTGCTGAAAAAAGGCATCCACATCTCCGTTTTCACCTTCTGAGCCATCCACTGAGGATTGAAATACCAGATCTAAGCTGTCAATCTCAATTAGATCCTTTGGTTCAACTTTAGTTCTGCTGTGTGCCTCTGGAACTTCATCACGTAAAACTAAAGAACCTCTAGGTGATTCAATTTCTGTGTCATTCATTTTCATCTGACAGACTTTTCTTAACTCTTCCAGTTTGGTTTCAGTTGAAATCTCATCATGCAAACCACAGGAAAGGACCTGTGGATCTATTACTGTTTGGTTACATTCTTCCTTAGAGATTAATCTAAAACCTTCTGACAGACCCGCAGAACTCTCTGTATCTGAGTCGTAAACAACAGCCATTCGAGTCTGGACAGTGTCAGTATGTCTCTCACCCTCTATCTCTCCCTTCCTATTCCTCTGAAGGGTATCCTCTGAGTCCAGACAGAACTGATCCGTCTTAACATGTATAACATCTTGGACAGGAGAGGCTGAAGAAGGGCTTTTGTCATCTTCATGAAAACACGATCTGTCCTGTTGCGAGATGGACTGCTCTGTCAGGTCTGAAATTCTGCCAACAGCTGGATCTACAAGAACATCTGGATCATGCAACTGTGATGACAAGGCAGATGGACAAACTGGAATGGGAGGATTAGGAAATAGGCAGGGCAGTGTGGCACAACCCATCTCAGACTTAGAGGAGTCCAGAAAAAGAGAGGGTGGAACTAAGGGATTGTCCTTGTCCAACTGAGAACATGAAGAGGAGGGTGTTTCTTCCTCTTTCTCTGCATTGGCAAGTGGATCAGAGAGGCCTAATCCACTTGAGTCTGGGAAAAAGGAATCTTTTTGATTGTTTTCTCTCTGTGAGAGGGACTGAATAAGTGGAGGAGAAGATAAAGAGGATAGACAATGAAAATCAGGAAGGGTAGTTGGAGGTAAATAAGTCTGTTCTGACTGTGTGTTCCCTGGACTCCCAGAAGAGGAGTCAGACTGTGTAGAAGACATAGACATTGAGGCAGAAAACTGACCATTCAAATTTGGAGTGGGAGAAGGAGATGAGGCAGGAGGAGGGACATTGGAAAAGGTAGAGCATGTTGTACCTTCAGAGTCATGTGAAAGTATAGAGAGGTAGGGGGATGGAGGATCCTCGTCCTCAGTTTTAATATCCTCTAACCCTCTACTCAATGAGGCAGGCTGTATGGGGGAAGATGTAGGGGGAAGAGAGGTAGCAGAAGGGAGAGTTGGATACTGGAAGGGAGTTACGTCCTGTATCTTGGGTGAGGAAGAGCAAGGAGGATCCTGATCTGGTAGTTTCGCCATCTCTGAAATTTGCATGTCAGATTTTGGGAAACACAACAAGACAGGAGGAAGGGGTGGGTAAAAAACTAAAGAAGGCTCTGGTGAAGGACACGGCGATTTGTCAACACCAGAAGAGATAGGAGATGAGGAGCAGAAGGGAGGTGGTGAAAACTGAGACCGGGGGCCTGGCTTCTCACTGCTTTGGCTGTCAGTGCTCCCTCCTGATAGGCCTGACAGAGCCTGAAACCAAACAGACAATACAGACAGTCAGACACATGTTTTATAAGCACTATACACTATACATCACATTTTGGTGACTTTTATGTCATCTAGTCAGTGTAAGTGATTTAAAGGGGTACAGTAATTTAGCCTTGCACAGAGTTTGGAGCTTGTGAAAGAAGTGAGTATGCATTAGTAGGTGAGGGGACCTTGATGAGATCAGATCCTGGTGACGCCTGCTGAGAGAGAGAGGGAATGAAGAGCTCTTCTAGAAAGCCACTGCTGTCTGACTGGCAGCTGTTGGTCCGAATTACACCCTGTGCTGCTCACAAACACAATGGAGGAAAGGCAAAAAACAAAGGGTACAGTGCATTACAACCACAACTTGACAACGGCCAGTGTATCCAGCCCAAAATTACAATTTGAGAAGGTTTTAAAGAGACAGTCCAGTGTTTTGGAAAAATGTGTGTTGTATTCCTCATTTCCAAGGCGCACATGAGAGGATATCAGTCTCATGTCTGTGCAGCCAAAACCAACCCAGTCTCACTCCCAACTTGGCAAGTCCTGCAGCTTGGTCAGTGGCCCCCCTTCAAAATATGACACTGTGGGTTTCCCTCTAGTGTCATTTCTGGACACGCCCACCATGAAAGTCAGGTAACATGGGCGCCTGGATAGTTCAGTGGGTAGAGCTGGCAACCCATGTACCAAGGCTGAGTCCTTGCTGCAGTGGCCCAGGGTTCAAATCTGACCTGCGGCCCTTTGCTGCATGTCATCCCCTCTCTCTGCCCCCCTTTCCTGTCTAACTTCAGCTGTCACTGTAATAAAGGCAATAAAAGCCCAAAAAAATATACTTAAAAAAAAAAAAGAAAGTCAAGTAACGTAACATAAAGACAGAGAAAGTCCATGTAACAAACACAGAGAGCGCTGTTTGTGTCCTGTGTGAAACCAAAGTAAACAACTTCTTTTAAGTAGACTGACATAACGTGAAGACGTTAAAGATGTAACTTCTATCAGGTACATGACAGTACACACATGAAGTTTTAATAATCTACTTAAAACTATATCAGTAGTTTACACTAAACTGTCACATTTCCGTTTTAAAATGTCTATAAATACTAGACCTATGCTATCTATTTCGTTGAGTTGTGTACTTACATTATCCCAAATATTTTCAACAATGTTCAAACCCAGAGAAATTGGTCATTTTATTCAGATAACTGTGAGCTGTAATGCTGTATGGTTAAACAGATAAATTATTTTATTCATTGTTTGGGTCTTAAATTATCAGTGTTTTTAGTGGTTTTAATTACCTGGTCTATTCGTTTGGAGAGGAGGAGACTACTGCTGATAATTCGGCTCCCAATAAAAACCTCTAGAACATCTGGATTTTTTGTTATCAGAGAAACAATCCAAGCTAACGTTAGCAGCAGCTTGGCTCGCAGCCCCTTCGGGATGTCCTTTGTCTGACAAACAGCATCAAAGACACATTGATTTGAGGTGGAACTGTTTTATTCAGAGCACTGCAGTCCCAATGATGGTGCAAGAGGGGTACCTTTAGGGTGTCCTATTTTGAGCCGGAGGGCCACTGACCAAGTGGCAGTATTTGAGGTAGACCTTGGATGTGTTTAGCTTAGACTAGAGACTGGAAACAGGGGGAAACTTCTGGCCTCATCTAACTCTGGGACAACACTCTTCAAATGTCTCTGTCCTTTTAAGATGGTAAATGGCAAATTGACTGTACTTATACAGGGCCTTTCTAGTCTTTCCGACCACTCAAAGTTCTTTACACTACAAGCCACAGTCACCCATTCACACACACATTCAGACACCAATGACCCAGCATCAGGAGTAATTTGGGATTCAGTATCTTCAAGGACACTTCGACATGCAGCAGGAGGAGCCAGGGATTGAACCGCCAACCTTCTGATTAGTGGACGACCCCTCTGCCTCTGGCTAAGAGTGCTCCTAATGTCAATAATGTTCCATTGCTCACTCTTAGATACAGAATCTGTCATTTGTTTTGGTGCTCCCACTTTGTAATGTATATCATACTGAGAAGAAAGGCAGGAAAACTAGCAAGAGATTCCTCTATCATACATTTGGGCTGTATTTGAAAAATCATTACATCATTATAACTGAGGTAAATGTTCTACTGGGGAAACTCACCTCCCTAAGATCTTGCCCTAATGGGAAGTTTGTGACTTGCAGCATAACCAGCAATGATCCCGATATGAAAATTACATCAGCCCTTAATGATTTTGCATTTCTGCGTCATTGTCCCATGTATGCAAATAATTTATATATTTATGTAACCATGAACTGCATTTCTTCAAACTAACACTCTCCAAAGCCGAATAGGTTGTAAAGGTTTGATTCAAGTCTCAAATATACAGTTTTGTGATGAAAATGTTTTCTTGCACTTAGAGAGTGAGTTAGAGAGTGAAAATGTCTATTAAATAATTATACACTTTATGACCTACCTAAATGTTCTGCTCCTCCTATGTAGCTCCCTGTGACACTACTTTCATCAAAACTGTGGATCTGGAATGAGACATGAAATGGGACATTAATACCTTTTCAGGGAAGTACAAACTAATATGACTACAGCAGGGGAAATATTAGAACGTACAGTTATTAGCTTATTGCATTTTACAATCCAATGCAAATCCAAATGCAAAAAACTCAACTTATGCCTTAGTGAAGATATAAGGTTCAGTTTTAATGGATACAGAAATGTTTTGATTCATTCAACCCCCCTTGGGGGTTTTGGCTTTGGATTTGATTGCACTATTAAATAAAAATAAAGCAGTTATTTCTGAAAATGTATGTCGATATTAAGTACTAATGAATGCATGGGGTTGATCTTCAGTTCAGCTCTGATTCAGTTGAACAGAAACTGTTGCACTTTTCTGCTAAAATCTGGATTCAATTTATAGCAATAAAGCATTTTTTCTGTATCATCATATAGCTGCTATTGCTTGGTCAGTGGCCATTTGCTTCAGAATATGATGCTGTATGTACCCCTTAGTGTCATTTATGGACATGCTGGGCTCCAGCCTGCATTTGTCATTTATGGTTGCAGCAACAGGATTTGTGTTTTGTTTGAAACCAAAAGTGAAAGTCAACTTCTTTTAAGTTACGTGACTTATACCTATACATATTTAGCTGCTATGGGGTACCTACAGAGTCATATTTTTAAGCAGAGGGCCGCTGATGAAGCAGCAGTATTATTATTTGATTAACTGTTGCAGTTCAACTTGCCTCTTCCATTTCAAATGATTCCCTGGCCTTCCCTGGGCTCTTCTTTCTCTGTGAAAAAGTGCTGGTTGTCACAGGGTGACCTTCCTTCAGTGGCCAGGGTCTGTGTGCTCCTTCCTTGGCTATTAAAGAAGCCACGTCAGACTTGGACTGAGGGTCTGGCCCAGCTCCTTGCTCCTCTGCCAGAGGACTCAGACACACAATCTCCTGAAGTCCAGGTTTGACTCTTTTCAAGGGGAATTTCTTGTCTCCAAGGCTAAGTGGAGATTGCAGTGACTCAGGTGTAGCACCTGGGTCGTGCGTTTTATTGTTGTGGATTTGGCTGAGTGACTTCTTTGATGCTCTTCTGAACAGCATGCCCATACGCCTCCTCCTCTCCCAGGCCTCAGGAGGCAGGTCTTTCCCATGTGGTGCTCTGAGAGGGGTGCAGGATGACCCCATTAAGGAAGAGAATGCTGTAGTTACCTGCTGGAGAACCTCGAGCTGTCGAAAACGATCTGAAGGAGAGAGTGGAGAAGAGAGGTTACAAGTAAAAAGTTTGTCAACAAATTTGTAACAGGTACAGTATGCAGCCCATTTCTACATCAATGTGATGAAAAAAGATCCTGTATGTATTATTATTATTATTATTATCACTATATTAAGAAAGTTTTCCAGGATTTTGAGAAAGTTACTAAGTCATTATTTTGAGAAAGTTTATTAAAGAAATAATTACAAGATCCGTTTTTTCATCACACTGGCGGAAATGGGCTTCCATACAGATCTGTTGATAGTCATGGAACAGGTCACTGATTCACTGATACACCAGTTGTCACAGAGAATATCAAACCATGGGCTCAAGATGTCCACTAATCAAAAGGTTCGACCCGCGCTGCATGTTGTGTCCTTGAGCAAGACACTAAACCCTAAGTTTCTCCCAATGCGAGTGAGGGACTGTGTGTGAATTGGTTAGTTAGTTTCTGACGAGCAATTTGCTTGCATTGCAGCCTCTGCCATCAGTATGTAACGACAAATGACGAAACATTGTCATACATAACTCACATATATCACAGATCATAGTGGTAAAATGTAGGCTTACTGCTGACATCTGGATTCTCAAGGTCCAGCCGGTTCTTCTGGGCCTCCAGAAACACCTGGAGGTTTATTCCCCTCGCTTGAGACTGATGATTGATGAATCGAGCTGGAATGCGTCCAGAGAGGTCAGGTTCATCACAGCCAAAGCCCAGGTCCAAGAGAACCTCTTCCGGGTCATCATTCCACAGGTTGAGTATGTCCATCACACTGTCAACAGATGAAACACTGAACTGAGTATGTACTGTACACTAATAAAAAGTTCTATCTGTGTGTGTGTGTGTGTGTGTGTGTGTGTATGTGTGTGAGGCTGTGTCTAACCTGAGTGGTCCAGAGTGACCTGAAGTTGCTGAGCTGAAGCTGTTCCACCTGCTGAGAGCTGGACTTGACCTGCTCCACCTTAACAGGTACAATACACAACAAAAGGTTCCAGTCACACACTTTTTGTTCAATGTTCCTATTCATGGTTTGCATTTGGGTCCACACCTTAATTTCATATAACACAACCAGATGTCAGAGAAACTGCAGCCTCCTATCTTCTGTCTTTTTCTCTCCATACACATTAATAAAGAAGCCAAATAAAATTTAAAACTTGTAATGTGAACTGTGTTACATAGCAGAAATAAAATTCATATCTATTGCGAATACCAGCTTTTTTACTCACATTGTGCTCCTGGTCTTTGGAGATCAGTACCTTGTCTGACCTGCTTTCCTTGATCTTTTATACTCATCCCCTCTACTCTTCGCTGATTCATATTTTCTGTGGAGCTGTCAAGCATTGTAATAACTTTCCTCTGATCCTTTCACTTTCTATGCAAACTGTGCTGGGTTCTGTGAAGAGGGGGGAGGTGGGGCTTATTTGCCTGGTAAATATGACTTTTAGTTACGTGTCTAATTATCAATTTAGGTCCACAAGTTGTTATTACAGTCTGAACCAGCTGTCAGTCAAAGACACACTGCAGTATAGTGGGTTAACCAGAGGACGTTGGGTAGGTCAACAATGATTTTAAAAAAAACAAACAAACATGAAAACTACTTCCTTTCCATGAAGCTCATATCTCTAACACATTACAGGAACAGATATTGAAATTTCTTCTAATCACTCTGCCCATTTTGCATAAGGTTATCTGCTCTTTTTGCAAGCAGATTATATTTAATGCCTTTATGACTCTCACTGTCTGCTCTCTCTCTAACACATACACACAACACAAACAGTTCTATTAAACCCTCTTACTCCCTGGCCGGATAAATAGTTTTTGTGCTGTTACATTCGGTTCCATTGATCTACCTCTCAAAGTATTTTATTATCAATCTAGTATGGGCTGTTTTAATTATCTACAAAATAGCCATAACCAATAAATAACACAGACAACTGGTTTTGAAACTATGGTACACTGGTGTTACGAAACCTCACTCTAGTAGTACACAGAGGAAATTAAATTAATTAATTAATTTTTTTTTATTTAAACTGTTTTGCCTTTCCTGTAATATTATCTGATATCAGCCTGGTAAGTAGTCCTGTTCATGCACATAGTACATACATGAGTAATTACACCATGTGGTGTACCAGATCTGCGTGGAGGTGTTCAAGTGCCAGTTCCAGTGCTACCTCTTTGTACAGATAAATGGAGAGCCTGATATTTTCTGATATAGTCACTTACAATAGTAACAGTAAACTCTTAGCAGAGACAAGACCATAGGTGAGACGCAAACAAACATTACTTGTATCCAGTAAAATAAAATGTTGTACTCATTACTCGTTACTAATTTCAAAATAAATATGATTACTTTAGTTATTAATTATTATATAACGTTTCTGCACCATCTCACATAATTGTTAATTCTGTCCTTTCTCCCCAAAATTTAGACTTCCCATGTGTGTCTCCAGTGAATGTCAGGGTAATTGCCCAGTTGGTGCAGCTAAGGCTTCAAACTAGCAGTTCTTTCTGCAGCCTATGAATCCATAAAAGTTACATGTTAGATGAAAAGCACACCTGGCACAAACTGATGACGAGACAATCTTATAAACTACTTCTGTTATTTAGAGACATAGTCTATCTTGTAAATATTTTTTTATCTAGTGGTCTTTGACATTACATGTCACATTAACCCTTTCACACACACAAACACTCATACAGTGATGGCAGCGGCTGTCATGCAAGGTACCACTGCTCATTGTGGAAAGTGAAACTAATTCCTTCATACATTCACACACACGGCACAACACTGGGGTTCAGTATCCTGTTCAAGGATCCTTCGACATGCAGCGGGAGGAGCCAGGGAAGTAATTTCTAGTCTTTCGACCACTCATGTCACACTCACCCTTCCACACACATTCATATTGGGGCAGCTGTGGCTCAGAGGCAGAGTGGGTCGTTCACTAATTGGAAGGTTTTTGGTTCGATCCCCGGCTCCTGCATCGGTGTGTGAATGAGTTAGTTTCCGTTTGATGGGCTTTGTGTGTGAAAGGGTGAATTTGGCATGTAGGGTAAAAGTGCTTTGAGTGGTCGGAAGAGAAAGGTGCTATACAAGTATAGGTCCATTTACCATTTACCATATTCATGCCATGCAAAGTGCCAACTGCTCATCAGAACGGAAACTAAGCAGTCATGCACATTCAAACAGTGCGGGAAAGTTGCTATAGTATCTGATAACTTTAGCTTGCAGATTAACATAATTAATGCAAAATATAATTCAACTAATAAATTACTAGTATATTTTGATTTTAATACTTCTCTACTTTTTGTTATGATTTTGAGTACTTAAAGCACATGTTTGGTTAAATGCTGCAAAAGAGAACATTTCAACGTCATCTTAAATGTTTCATGCTGTGTAAACAATCAGATACTGGTCTGGGTGGGACATTGAAGTGCAAGAAGCACAATTTAATAACAGTACCGATAATCGGAAAAGGCTGAATATCAGATCTGACAATCAACCAAGCTGATAATCACTCTATCCCTAATTTGTATAACCTTCAAGTAGGTTATAGGTTGGAAGGAGGGCTCTGAAACAATTTTGCACAATAAACCTGTTCAAATGATTTGAATACAACTAGAGTTGTTAAAACTGCCTTACAAATGTGATGCTTACATTTGTCATCAGAGTTTTGTACCATGTTTATATATTCACTTTATATGATTGCATGTGGAAATGGAAGTGCTGCAACACAGACCTTGATTAATTCCAGCCAATATCATACACAGTTACTGAAGTTTTAGAATACTGAAGTCAGCTCATTTTCATTTTTACAATGTATATCTAACAGTTGTGTTAGAATGAATTCCAGCACTGTGCTGTGTGATAGCCTCACTCTACACTGCTGGCTGTGTGGCTCTGTACGTCTGACAGGAGATGAGAACAAGAAGAAGAGAGGCATCCTTACCGCAGAAACTCCTGAACTGTCCTCACTCCCTGGTTACCATATAAAGACGCTGCAGGGGAGAAAAGTAATGTTATCTGACAGGGAAGCAAACAGGGCACAAATTACACAAGCAGAGAGGGAAACATCAGGAGAGGAGGAAGGCATGGAGACATCCCCTCGATTTTGGTTGAACGTCAGTACATCCTGTCCAGGTCTGGTGTCAAGGCTCCTCGAGCTATATTAGGAAAGTGTTTCTCTCTGTCTCTGTCCCTCCCTCCCTCTCTTCTTTCTTCCTCCAGAGGGTGTTTGGGTTTTGGCAGTCGCCTCTACCTCCCTCTCCCAGACTAGGATTCCATTTGACATTGGCATGGTGTCAAGAACAAAGTAGTCTTTCTCCCTCTCTACTGCCATACTTTGTGTTTTTTTTAAATGCACACACCATTTTTTGTTAGAAAACTACATGTAGTTAAGATGCAGGTGAGAAATTTATCTTTTTCCTTTAAAGGCCAAGAAAGAGAAAGAGAATCCTCAGTGAATGGCTGATGCCAGTCGTGTTCTCGTCCACAGTGCTGTGATCTTTTGAAGTGCCATGTAATTTGCTCTTACGTAAGAGCAGACACAGATGCAAAGGTAGGGTGGCACTGGTAGACACAAAGGGAGAGGCTCTCGTCACACCGTGAAGATAATGCAGTCACTAATCTGATCTCTTGGTTGGATTTGATCTGTTGAATTTACAGAAGAAATGTTGCCACTGCAAATAGCTTCGTTGAAAGTGTGATCTACTAACTCTCTTTTCTGTTCCAGTTCACCGCTTTTTTCCCCCTAAAACTTTAATTAACTTGTTTAAAAACACATACTTACACTTACATCTACTACTTCTCCCTGAGATCTAGAAGCTATAAATTTGCATATTAAAGTAATATTAAATATATAAGTATATATATCCTACATACTACTACTACATACTACATATCCTACTTCAAGTAGTCAACTGTTGTTGTTATGTATTGAATATAACATGAAATATCAATAAAATATGTCAGGGGTAATCAGTTTACTCGATTGAAAAGAAAACACACACTTAAAAAACACATTGGGACCACAACTTTCAGCACAATGTGAAAACATCAAACTCTGCACCATCACTCTCACCATTCTGACAGTAAAGCTCAAACATCCAAATGATGTAACAGTAAGCAAAACACATTTTTGAGTGGAGTATGGCTTTAAATGTCATGTCTACACACATCACACATATTGGGGGTTTCTGCTTGTCAAGGCTTACTGCTTTTTGCTCAAAAGTATGGCTCCAGTAAGTGACACAAGTGGTGGTTGATGATCTGCTGAAAATTGTTTAAATGTCCATTATGACAATGGAAATATTGATTCAACCCTATCTTCTACAAAATATTTTATACAAAAGACCTAAGGATTTTTTTGCTCATTTCTGAAACTTGCAGGGGCATAAACGCTGTTTATTACAGCATCATTTAATGCACATGCACAGGTTTATGTTGTGTTTAGGGATTGTGCTGAATTCTGGTACTGGCATCTTCTTCAGTCCAGTTCAGGCAGTGTCACTACCTACCCCCCCAAGACTTGTTGCACATGCCTAACTTCTCCCTGTATGGCAAGGAATACCAAAAATCTTTGGGGCTGTCCAGAGTCAGACAATGCTTGTTTGCCTGTGAGACTGTGGACACTATTCCTAGCTGCCTGCAGAGTTTGACAAGTTTGACTCCCTGCTACAGTTTGGTCGATAGTTAGTCAACTTTTAGTTCCTTTTAGTGTTAATAATTGTTTTACATATTGATTTACATACTATGATCATCCCCATGTAATTTCTAACTCACTAATGCTACTGTCGTGTAGCCTCTGCACCCTCTTCAGTATAAATACACAAGCGATTCTGGCAACTCTCTCTCTCTCTGCTGTTGTTGGAAGATGCACACTACTAGATAAATCATTGGATTGTGGTCCTAAATTCGTCTGTTTGCGAGAGTGTGCCTGTAAAGATTCCCTGCTGAGGACGGAACCTTACAAGTCCAGGATAGGAAGCTGTTTACCTTCTACACCCAGGGCCAGGTCATCGTCACAGCTGGGGTTCCTCCTTAGAGGCTCTGCAGGGGACACAGGACACAACAGCAACATGAGAGGCAGAAAATGCTGAGCAGCACAACCTTTTAGCAGAATGGGCTCATATCTATAAAGCATGCCTTAATTATTGTCATTTGAGGAGAATTATCCCTCTCCTGATTTATTGTTTGCTTTGAAATTTTAAAATATAGCAAACAACAACCATATAGGTGATACAGGAATTTGACTGAAGACAAATTAATGCAATTTATTTTAACTTCAGAGGTAAGCTGATCAGCTAAGGCAATAGCTACACTCATGATGAAGACCCTAATCCACAACCATCTCCCTCTACTGCACAAGTTATTAAAAAATAATCCTTTTTTTGGAAGATTAAAGCTCTCTGATAATGTATCAATAATCACAATTGTCACTCCTACCCATTTACAAAACATTGCATCCGTCTGGCAATGAATTCCTCACACCTTTAATTGATAATTCCAATAACACTGTTCATTATGCTAATGCAAAGTTCAACCACAGGCTTGCGTCCCAAAGTGCAATAATAACCCTGCATAACCAGCAGGGCAATCTCTTAGGTCAAGTCTATACTTTGCTTAAAGATAAAATAATTTCTATTTAGTTGTACCTAAAACATATTTTAACTGTTCCTGTGACTAAATGAGACAGAATTAGTCATGAGATAAAGGCTTAAATTGCTACACTATTGAGTGCCTCAGAATTTTTTTAACAATTCTGAACTACCAGGATCACCAAACTGAATCGAACCGGGGGACACCTTTTTTCTCACCCAAGTGTGACTGTTTTGTCTTTACAACCTGGTACAAAAACTATTTTAGTATCTATAGCTAAGCATAAGATGCATTTTTATATAACTCACTCATTTAAATTATATTAAGGCTTAAAGTTATGCATAACTAAGGGAATGGCTGCTTTGAGAGACAGATAGGTCTGAATAACACTTGCCTTCCAAGCATGTAGGAGAAACTATGGACAGTGGCAATGAAACTAACTAAAAGGTATCTCTCGGTTTTTTTCTATAAATATTATATTCCATTTCTGCTAATAGATCCTCCTAAAAACAAATACATGACACTGACAAACTCCACCTACAAAACCAATTTTTTTACTTGTGAGTTATGCATGCACTTTCTCATGAACAGTGGGGTATTTTTATTTTGTATATAACTTCAACTGAGTGGTATTTTTTGCTGGCATTTGGCTTTTTTGTCAACTTCCAGTGTGAAGTAATAGGTATCTTGTTAAGCTTTGCTTTCAAAGTAGTTCCCCCAGCACTGCTTAGTTTTTAGCTCAAAGTACCAAGTACGGCCTCATAAAGCCACATGTCTTGTGTCCCTTAAAATACAGCACACTGGACAAAGATAGTCTGAGTGACAAACAGCCAGGCAAGGCTGCTTAACTAGAAGGTGAGGGGGAGGAGCGGGCAGAGGCATAAGGAGCAATTTGCCGTTCCCATGGTTTTCTCAACCACCATTTGCATGCTGTTTGAATGGGCTGACCTCAGGGCAGGACGGGGGGAGATGTGTAAGTTATTTAATACACACTGCTCAACAACAACATGCGTAAATTCATCAAAGAGTGGCCATTAATTGTGTCATTAATTCAGATTTTAAATCTAAATGAAAAGAAATGTAACAAATGAAGACATAACCAAATTAAGAAAAAACACATTTTTTTTAATGGATTTAAAAAGCAATTCAACTGAATGGATTTCTTACACTAAAGCAGCAGTAACATATTCTGTAACCAGACTGTTATGTAACTGTATTTCACTGCATATCAGCTTCTGTACGTCTGCATTTCCCCTTACTCACCATTGACCTGTGTGACACAATATACGCAGCCTGATCATTCATTCTCTAATCTATAGTTTTTAGCATCTTTTCATCTTATTCCACACCACTCACTAAAAAGCTCACTAGACTACAGAGGTGCGATAAACTAAACACTAAACATTGTACTCACCACCACGAGGGAGAAGACAATATAAAGTTGACACAGACTAAAGACGATGCACACCTCTCTACAGGTAAAACAGAAAAAGAAGGATTTCCATCGGTCATACCTGCAGCTTCCTGCAGTGGCGCTTGCTTTGCATCTTCCCTGCAAACACAGGTCACATTTCATTAGAAGGAGGGACAAAGTACAAGAAAGCACAAACACACACTCACACGATATGGGCAATATATTGTGATACAATCATATAGTTATATATGCTATATAGACATATGGTATGGTGTCTGGAGTGTGTCAAATACCTAATTGTAAGGTATCTTTAAAAATTAAGATAGGACATAACAGAAACTTTAAGGTGGACTCTCAGAGGAAGACACAGTACAAACAATATCATAAAGCCTTTTTATTAGGAATGCACAAAAACATATCGGGAGGGATAAATTATCAGCCGATAATGGAAAATGTATATATTATTATGAATTATCTGGATAATTAAATTACAGACGATAAATTATCAGTTGATATTAATAATAATTTATTATTAATTATTATGCAGAACGTTAGATTTTTATGTTTTATGTTTATGTTTTATGTTTTATGTTTTATGTTTTATGTTTATGTTTTATGTTCAATGAAAGCCAAAGTATCTTTGTGAAGTTTTTAAATTAACTTTACTAGATACAATAAATGAACATTTTAAGAGCCAGAACTGTTGTTTGTTGTTGTTGTTGTTGTTGTTGTTGTTGTTGTTGTTGTGTTAACAATAGTAATGTCAGATTTGTTTAAAACAGAGCTATGGAATATCATCCCTCTTTACTCAATACACACCTTTTTGACCCTAATACAAAAATGCAAAATTAGCAGTTATCTTATTGATATCAGCCATGAGAAACAGGCATTTATCAGTTATCATGTCGTCTGAAATAAATCCATATCCATATCGTACTTCTACTTTTTTTGTGTGTTTTGCAAATCCGTTCAAACATTAATCTTTTTTAATGTTTATGAAAAAATGAATACAATTATGAAGTTACAATATTATTTATATCTCATATCCGTAGTCATAGATAAACTGATGGATAGATGTGTTGCATTGTGCCAGAAGTTACTGAAAATGTATTATTTATTATATATGTATATATTAATTAAGTCCAATTAGTGAGTCCTGTAAGACCTCAGCAGTCTCCTAGTCCACTGATTTTCATACTGAGACAAAGCAGGGATTAAATACAGCTTGATCACTTTGGGGGTTGTCAAGTCATTGGCTAGACAATATGGAGGGGGTTGGAGATGTTGTTTGGGAGGTTGTTTGAGTGTAATGCTGCCAGTAAGCCAGTACATTAATAGTGGCCTAAAGGTCAGTGCCATATTTACCTTTTAGTGGATCTGCCCCAAAGTCATGCATTATTTACCAGGAGCTATGCTCTGTACCAACATCTACAGTCTAATCATGTAAAACTTTTATTGAAAGTGGGTGTGAATTCTGTGCATTCTGGTTTAACTGAATTATGACACTAAAAAGAAGAGGTGTCATTTTTGTTGCACAATGCCTATCATTATCCATGGAAAAAATAATAAATAAATAAATAAATGGATGACTGAATGAATGAATGAATGAATACATAAATAATGGGCCACCTTGAGGCCAAGTATAAATCATAAAATACAATCCCATTACAGTCTATCTAATGTATGAATTATTAAAGCACAAGGAATACATTTTTAAAAGTTTTAACAGTACACAAAAATGTGTTGCTTTCTCTGAAAAACTATTTTTAATGAAATACTAGACAAAAGTTTTTTATGCAAAACAGTGGCTGGAACAGGAGATATCTCAGAAGCAGGTTGATAAACATAAATAAATTAAAAGTTGTGCCCAAAATCAATACCATATTTTGTAATCTCAACTAATTTGACGTTAACAGTGATACAGCAGCTTGTATTTTGATACTCACTCAGTGACAGTGGTGGTGAGCCATTTCTTGACACTGTCCTTTCTCGAACTTCCTTTGAGGCCTGTGACAACAACCACTGATAATAACTTACAGTGCAGGCCTGTTTAAAGAGTCCTATCCATACCGACCATCAACGCTAAATGTTTATCGTAACTTAGGTCTAGTTTTGGCCTTCAGTCTCACTAATAGTGCTGGCATTGTGCTCGCTAAAGTTTTTGTTGAGGTGATGTTACTGTATCCCCAGATCTGTTACTTTGTTCAGTACAATGTTATATCAAAAGTTTTACATATTTGCTGAAACTTTTACTATATTCTGACAGTAGTACATGAGACAGATAATCTGTCCACCATGCCTGAATGAAAACAACCAATTAGAGCCGAGAAAGATAGAAAGACACTTTGGGTTTGTGGCTTGAAGATTGTTGAGTCTCATTCCTAATGTTGGTATTTGACAATCTGGTAATGAGCAACAATAATAATAATAATCTTTCTTGGCTCTGAATTGGTTGTTTTCTATCAGGCATGGTAGATTTCATTAGGAGCACTAAGAGGAGCCAGAGGAACCACATATTTTTCACAGATTATCTGTCTGATGTACTACTGTCAGGATATAGTTAAAGTTTCAGCAAATATGAGAAAAAATTTTTTTTTAAAAAGCTACCTAATGCCACTTCAAGTCCCTGAAAAAGATACTAGTGTCATATCATCATGGCATCATAACATAACAGATTGACAAGAAAAAAAGCCTAAAAAAGCTTAAACAAATTGGAATGTAATTGCAAAATCCCTGGTAACATTAGTTAATTTCCGTATGTATCTTGGCTTCCATACCCTGAGCCTCATGGTCCTGAGCTGACTCAGGAAGGTCCATGTGGCTCCAGTGGACCCTGGATGCCACCAGATTGGCCCTCTTGGCAACAGATGATTCAGACGCCATGGGGGGAAACTGGAGTGGTGGGAACACAGAGAGGATCAACGGCTCATCAAATGATAAGCAACAGATGAACAAAAAAAACCCAGGAAAGCACTTACCTGTATAACTGGACTCTGATAATTCCTGGTTTTACACTGTCCTAAGCAGCATCAGTTGAACTGGTCCCGGCAGTGAGAAGTCTGTGTGAAGATGCAGCAGAGTGAGCTGAAATTCCTCCAGAGCAGAAGCTCACAGGCAGAGCGATGCAGACAGCAGTTCTCATTCAGCTCCTGTCCTGCTCTGTAAACATGTTAGAGAAAAGGAGGGACATGCAAATGACTTGGTTAGACTTCTGAGCCCTACAAGGAAATATTGTCCCCTGACTAATTTGTAAATGCCTTCCATCGCTTCCTGCTCCTCTTTTATCAGTTTCTGCCTGTGGTCAGGAAATGTCTTCATATTCCTAGAATAGAACATTTAAATATCATATTCTCAACATGCATACAACTGGATGAAAAAAAGATAATAGAGCAAGAGAGAATAAATAGTATGTCTAATGTTTTTTTTCTACTGATGTCATTATCTAGTGCTCTATGTCAAATATGTTATAGAGGGTAAAATAAATACAATTGTATTTTCTGTAGAAGTTGAATGTGAATGTTTTGTACTATTTATAACACAGTCCTCTTCTGTTTCTTTCATGCCAACAATAACAAGAGCATTGTTTTGTGTGTATATTTATATCATCATGCAAATTGTGCGGTTTTATGATATTAAACCATGTCAGACACAAGCAACTGGTGTGGCCAACAGTGTTTTTGAAATGTCTCTCTGATAGAACCAGTGCTTTCTGTTCATTTTAAGAGGCACTGAGTATTAGTCTGATGATCGGCAGGGTGCACGCCAGCAAAGACCTCTTGGGCCTGAGGCAAAAGTGGGTTTTCAGGTCAGAAACCTGTTGATAAATAACAGCATTAGAGTAAATTTTGATTAAAAAAAATGTAATTATCAAACCTTTAAATTTAGTAAACCTGGTGAGTGATTTGGGTTATATAGGTTCTGTCTGCAGAGTCTGCAGAGTTACTCTGCTGTCAGCAACAATTAAACAGTGTTACTGTTACAAGACCTCTGCAGGCAGGACAAGTTGATAGGCTGCCATTAAAGTGCAAATTGTAATGGTTATATGAGATTATGCCATGTGTTTCCTAAAAAGAAGAAGTAAAGACAATAAATTAATGCGCATAAAAAGGAAGACCTGTCTCTGCTGTCCTTCTTGTTTCTACCACTATGAGGCGCCAAAACATTTCAAATGCTACACACAGTGGATTTAAGTAACCCAATAATAATAATCTTGACAGTCTTCTTGTCTTATTTACCAGAAAAGAAAAACATTGGAATATATTATTATTTGCAAAATAGTCCACTTGAAAGAACTGAACAGACAAAAACCTGAGCACTGCTAATGATTGCTGCTAATCAGCTCACCAAAACATGAAGTGAACTACCTGTTGTTGTTGGGGAAAATGTGTGGCATGACCATTGGCTGGATTTCCAATGCCTGAGGCTGGAGTTGGAGGTGAGGTGAAGGTCTCAATGAAGACAAATGACATGGTTCTCATCAGAAATACTGTGGAGCACAGGCATCATGTGGTCACTTGAGGGAAACTGGCAGCCTGTCATACATTCCCCTGATCACCATCCTACAACAGCGGAGACTCTATCCCGACCTTAACTGACATAATCTAATGTACATTATTTTAAAATGTACCATTCTCCATAATTTTGATTAAGCTAATAATAGTTGTTTTACTTGAATAAAAAATTTAAAGCAGAACTTTTCCTTTTTTTTTTTTTTTTTGCTTAAGTTTAAGTTCTGAGTACTTCTTCCACCACTGGTATTTGCTCTATTTGAATATCCAAAATGGCTTCACAATTGTTGTTGTTATTCTGTCTTCAATCAGACCAGACCCTGGTTCTTAGTTTTACTCCAATCAGCCATAACATGACCAGTGAAGTGAATAACACTGATTATGGTAAATGGACCTGTACTTGTATAGTGCTTTTCTAGTCTTCCAACCACTCAAAGCGCTTTTACACTATGTTCCACATTCACCCTTTCACACACACATTCACTCAGTGATGGCAAAGCCCATCAAACAGAAGCACATTCATACTCATTCACACACCGATGCACAGCATCGGGAGAAATTCAGGGTTAAGTATCTTGCCCAAGGATACTTGGACATGTGGCGGGAGGAGCCAGGGATCGAACCAACAACTTCCAATTAGTAGACAACACACACTTCCCCTGAGCCACAGCCGCCCATTATCTGGTTATCATGGCAGCTGTCAGTGGGTGGGATATATTAGGCAGCAAGTAAACATTTTGTCCTCAAAGTTAATGTTTTAGAAGCAGGAAAAATGGGCAGCGTGAGGATTTGAGCGACTTTGACAGAGGCCAAATTGTGATGGCTAGATGACTGGGTCAGAGCATCTCCAAAACTGCAGCTCTTGTCGGGTGTTCCTGATCTGCAGTGGTCAGTGTACCAAGGAAGGAAAAGCGGTGAACTGGAGACAGGGTCATGGGCGGCCAGGGCTCACTGATGCACATGGGGAGCGAAGGCAGGGCCGTGTGTCCATCAGACGAGCTACTGTAGATCAAATTGCCATACAAGTCAATCCCCATGGGCATGGGATGCTACTGCCCTTAGTTTGATGTTAATCGGACCAAACTATACGGGGGACATATGACATGGGAATCATCTAACCCGAGTTTCATGTTAATCGAACTGGGGGTTGCTGAGATATAAGAACTTTCTGTTAAATGGCACCACCTAGTGGCCAATGGAGCCAGATTTTTCACAGTGCCTCATGGGACACTAGTGGCCCCGGTTTCGTGTTAATAGGAGCAACCAACATGGAGATACAACATTATTTCATGTTTTTAGTGTAGACTACAGAAAGTTGTTCCTTCATAACTTCCAGGTTTTTTGAAGTACTACAATCTTTATAAAACTTTTTCCAGCATGGTCCACAGACTCATGCGAAGTTTCATCAAGATTGGAGTCACCGCCTCAGAGTTTTACAACACAAAAAAATACCAGAACAGTTTCAATAGGGTTTAGCCGTGCTGCCTTCCATGCAAATTGCCCTGCCTTTCTCATTCAGGCTTGGAACCCTAATAAAAAGGAGAGAGCTGAATATATATAGTTGTACAAAATTACCATTGCAATTCCAGTAGGCAGTGCTGCTTGGGAAGAGACTTTTTCCGCCCTGAGACTGATAAAGAATCACCTACCAACAACCATCACTGATGAGTGACTGAGTGACCTAATTGCGGATATGGATGAGTTTATTATTAGATTTAGTAGCCAGCACAAAAACCACAAAATACGGTAGTTCTGAGGCAAAGCATAGCCCTTACGTGTTACAGTGAATGAACAGATGCAGGTTTCCAGCTCAGAGCCAATGAGATCCAATAAGCCTCACCTTTGTGGTCATGAAGTCCTCTGAGCGCCTTGTGCTCTCCCACCTCAAAGCCATTATGGACCCACTCCTTGACCCCCTGCAGTTCGCCTACAGAGCCAACAGGTCGAGTCCATCCTCACCACGGGGCAGCTATGGCTCAGAGGCAGAGTGGGTTGTCCCCTAATCGGAAGGTTGTTGGTTCGATCCCCGGCTCCTCCTGCCACGTGTCGAAGTATCCTTGAGCAAGATACTGAACCCTGTGTTGTATGAATTTGTTAGTTTCTGTTCGATGGACTTTGCCATCACTGAAAGGGTGAATGTGGCACGTAGTGTAAAAGTGCTTTGAGTGGTCGGAAGACTAGAAAGGCGCTATACAAGTACAGGACCATTTACCTCTTCCATCACCATCTGGTACGTTGCTGCCTCAATCTGAGAAGGTGATTGGCTGCAATCTGCCATCCCTCCAGGACCTGTACGCCTCTACAGTAATACACAAACACAAAATCCTTGTATGTGTAAAAACTTACTTGGCAATAAACCTAATTCTGATTCTGATTCTTATTCTGAGAACAATTAAGAGCAATTTGATTATTAGCCTGATCAGGGGCACCCTGAAAGCTCAACTGGTAGAGCTGGTGCCCCATGTACCAAGGCTGAGTCCTTGCTGCATGCAGTGGCCATGGGTTATCAGTAGCCACACATTATGGACACATTAGGGAGAGCACACCTCCCTGCCCTTCCATGTGCATTCATGGAAAAGTTTAAGACAAGGAGAGCAGCAGCAGAGACCCCCCAGGGTACAGAACAGAGCAAGCATCAATGGCAATCAGAAAATGACATTGATTAATTAGAAACAACATAAAAAGGAGGAACTGGGGTGGAGGTGTGTGGCAAAAAGGCTTGTTGAGGAAGCAGCAGAGATAGGTAGGCAGGCTAAAGCAGCTTAAATAAGGCGCCATGAATGATGTTTGCCAATTGGATGCTTGAGGGAATCAGGTGAGCTGTCAGCTCACTGTGAATGGTTTCCAATAGGAAGCTTAGAGGATCAGCTGATCCATCAGCTGATGTATGTTTATGACTAGCTGTGATCATATGATATAACTGTAACTGAGAGCTGAGCCTGACTTCGAGGCCTGCCTGAACTAACGCTATGCTCCATACATAACAGTTTGCAGTCTTTGCGCTCTTTTGGAAAATATTGCACCAAAGCCCCTTAAAAAAGTATATATATATATATATCAACAGTTCCTTACGTGTCTCTAAAAACTTACTTTTTACTTTAGAAACAGAAAATTATTAGCAGGATACAAATCAATAACAAATGGTGGTTAGCTGTACAAACTATGACCATGGGAATAGTCGACTGTTAAAAATATTTTACTGATATACTGAATTAAACACAGGCTCATTGCACTTTTAATTCACCGTCTATCACATGATGATATTTGAGAAGTTTTCTTGCTAGTTTGGTGCTGGAGAACACACTAATATTAAGTAAATTAAATTAATATTAAGCATGTTTGACTTTATTCAAATGGAGACAGCTCAGACTTTTAGGTTTCATGACCACCTTGGAGATGATTGATTGCAGAACGTTTTGTTTTCTTCAGTGATTTTTGTTTTTGGAAGATATTGCATCTGCATAGTTCCGATGTTTATGTCTATGTTTATATTTCACCCGTTATGGCTGATCAGTGTTGTTGTAAAGACTGAATCAATAACAAGCTTGGTCTTGAACAATGAAATAATTCCATCATAATGTTACAACGGCATATGAGTGTCCTGGGACTGCTGCTGGAGCAGTCGTTTTTTGGCCAGAGGAGC